CGGAGTATTACTTGGCAATCAAAAAGAATGAAATCTTGCCATTGCAACTACATGGATGGAACTAGAGGGTATTATGCTAAGTGAAATTAGTCAGTCAAAGAAAGACAAATATCATGTGACTTCACTCATGTGAGGACGTAAAATACAGAACAGATGAACATAAGGGAAAGGAAGCAAAAATAATATAAAAACAGGGAGGGGGACAAAACATAAGAGATTCTTAAATATAGAGAACAAACAGAGAGTCACTGGATGGGTTGTGGGAGGAGTGATGGGCTAAATGGATAAGGGGCATTAAGGAATCCTGAAATCATTGTTGCACTATATGCTAACTAACTTGGATATAAATTTTAAAAAAACCAAACCTTTATCTATACTTATGTTTTAGACTCAAAATTAAAAAAAAAAAGATTCACCAATATTTACTATATGGATTGACACAGGGACACTTACTCAGCTCTTGCTTCAGGTGTCCATGTCATGTATCATAGTTAAAGTATCCTGGGGGGGGGAGGGGATTCTACTCCACAGAGGAGGGGGTGGCCGTGGCCCCCTGACTGGTTCAACTACTTTCAAGTGAATGACAAGGTATTATGAATTACTTGTATCCCAGGTGGTAGAAAGATAAATTATATCATCTACTTATACTTTTTTCTTTTGATAAAATACTTTTTTTTATTTTTTTGCATATTAAAAATTTACATCCAAGTTAGTTAGCATATACTGCAATAATGATTTCAGCAGTAGAATCTGGTGATTCATCCCCTCCACATAACACCTAGTGCTCATCCCAACAAGCATCCTTCTTAATGCCCCTTGCCCATTTAGCTCATCCCCCCACCCATAACCCCTCCAGCAACCCTCAGTTTGTTCTCTGTATTTAAGAGTCTCTTATGGTTTGGGGCGCCTGGGTGGCTCAGTTGGTTAAGCACCAACTTTGGCTCAGGTCATGATCTCACGGTTCATGGGTTCAAGCCCGGTGTCAGGCTCTGTGCTGACAGCCAGCTCAGAGCCTGGAACCTGTTTCAGATTTTGTATCTCCCTCTGTCTCTGACCTTCCCCTGCTCACGCTGTCTCTCTTTCTCTCTCAGAAATAAATAAAACATTAAAAAAAAAAAAAAAGAGTCTCTTATGGTTTGTCTCCCGCCCTGCTTTCATATGATTTTTGTTTCCCTTCCCTTATGTCCATCTGTTTTGTAACTTAAATTTCACGTATGAGTGAAGTCATATATTTGTCTCTGACTAACTTCACTTACATTCTAGTTCCATCCACATTGTTGCAAATAGCAAGATTTCATTCTTTTTGACTGCTGAGCAATACTCCATTGTTTATACACAACATCCTTGTTTTAGATTTTTAAAATGTTTTTTCTTAGAGAGAGAGAGAGAGCGAGAGCGAGCATGAGCAGGGGAGGAGCACAGAGGGAGACCACAGAATCCGAGCTGTCAGCACAAGCCTGACATGTGGTTTGAACTCACGGACCATGAGATCATGACCTGATCTGAAGTCAGATGCTTAATTGACTGAGCCACCCAGGCGCCCCACACACCACATCTTCTTTATCCATTCATCTGTTGATGGGCATTTGGACTCTTTCTACACTTTGGCTATTCTCGATAGTGTTGCTATAAAGATTGAGGTGCATGGGCCCCTTGGAAATAGCACACCTGTATCCTTTGGATAAATACCTAGTGGCGCAATTGCTGGGTAGGGTAGTTCTATTTTTAATTTTTTGAGGAACCTCCATACTGTTTTCCAGAGTGGCTGCATCGTTTGCATTCCCACCAGCAATGCAAAAGTGTTCCTCTTTCTCTGCATCCTTGACAAAATCTGTTGTTGCTTGAGTTGTTAATTTCAGCCATTCTGATAGGTGTGAGGTGGTATCATCTAGTTATGATTTAACTAAACTAATTCTCACAAAAGGGACAAATGGTTTGAAAAGATTCCTACAAAGAAATCCATAGATTGAAAATAACATGAATGGAACAAGCAAAGTCCAACTCAAAGAATGGCAGAGCTAACAATTTCCCACTATTTACACGAGATCCATTATGATGATATATCTGAGAAGGGAGTAGACCAGAAAAAAAATGCAAATTTATAAAGGAGAATACTTAGAATATGGATTTACATCACTGTCATTAACAACTAACTTAGGGTATATTGGGCCTTGAGGAATTAGCTAATAATAATATAAATGTGCCATCATAATCAGCAAGAGATGTGAATTCTACACAACCAGATCATGAAGACCAACCTCTACTACTTTTAAGGGGGGGATAGTCCAAGTCATGCATTACTTAGTTGCGTACTTTTGTGAACTATTATTAAATGAAATAAACATGTTTCAAAATCTCTTTTGAGTAAAATCCCTTTTATTTAATAGTAAAAGACAAAATGTCAGTCAGCATCATTGGAAAAAAACCTCTGTTCTATTTGCCATTGCTGATGTGATGGAATCAGTACAGAGAGGAGATGGCAACACACAAAAAATGCATTCTGGGGGCACCTAGGTGGCTCAGTCAGTTAGGCATCTAACTTGGGCTCAGGTCATGACCTCGCAGTTTGTGAGTTTGAGCCCCTCATGGGGCTGTGTGCTGACAGCTCAGAGCCTGGAGCCTGCTTCAGATCCTGTCTCCCTCTCTATCTGCCCCTCCCCTGCTCATGCCCTGTCTCTCTCTGTTTCTTAATAATAAATAAATGTTAAAAAACATTAATTCACCAACCATGAGATCAAGAACTGAGCTGATGTCAAGAGTCAGACATTTAACCCACCGAGCCACCCAGACTCCCCACAAATAACTTAAAAGTGAAAGGAAAAATATTGTACCATTCATTAAAAATAAAGTATCTTTGGGGTGCCTGAGTGGCTCAGTCGCTTAAGCATCCAATTTCGGCTCAAGTCATGATATCATGGTTCCTGAGTTCAAGCCCCCTTTTCCCCTCCACCATCGGTTTCTATGCTGACAGCAAGGAACACTTGGCATCTTCTCTCTCTCCCTCTTTCAGTGTCCCTCCTCCACTCATTCTCTCTCCCTTTCCATCTCAAAAATAAGTAAACTTTATTTTTTAAAAATGAAGTATCTTTATCTTTACTAGATCCTTTGACAGTTCTAGGTGTGCTTTATGATACATATTAATACAGTTGCATGTTCATATCATTTATAAATAAATGAATTGTAAATACCAGGCTGCCAGGTAGAAGGAATAAAGCTTGGTACTCAAATGAGGCAACCATGTGACTGACAGCAGTTAGCACAGTGAGGACACCGTGGGTGCTCACTAATGACTAGTTCCATTTCCTCCTTTGGTGACAAATTTGATGTGAGAGATGAAAGGGAGAGAGTCAAGGATGGCTCCCCAATATAGTCTGGGTAGTGGGAGGTGGTGCTATCATTCACTAAGACTAGAAACACAGGAGCAGAGGCAGGTTCTGGCACGTTCTTCGAAGGAAATTAGGAGTTTGAGTTCGGGCCTACAAACCTCGAGTGGAGATGGACCTCAGGAAGCTGATAAGTTATCTGCATCACTAGGACTTCCTGAGCTGGAGATAAAGTTCCAAAGTCGTTAGCAGTCGGGAGTTTGTTGAAACCGGAGGACTGGATGGGCTCGCAGAAGGACAGAGGAGACAGGCAGCTGTGGGACCAGAGGGGAACACCACAAAGAAAAGCCAAGCCTTGGACGCCAAGAAGCAGCAGTCACCAAGGGAAGTAGAACATTTGGAGAGAAAGCAGCAAGCGCCAACTCTGGAAACTTTTGTACCCCTAGCGATCCGGGAAGGAAGGCGTGGTCAGCAGGTCCAAATGCTGGGGAGGGGCCAGGAAGGGGCTACACGGCACCCATTGCATTTAGCACCTAGGAGGTCGGGCGTGACTTGGAAGGGCGGGTGTGTAAGCTGGGGAGCAGAGTCTTGTAGAAGGAGTATACGAGTGTGTGTGTGTGTATGTGCGTGCGTGTGTATGTGCGCGCGTGCTGGGAGGGGCAGGAAGGTGATCAAGGGACCAGACGGAAAGCCGATGCTTTCAGGTCCGTTCAGCTACAGGGAGTAAGTCACCTGTTCGGGGGCCGTGGCCCCAGGCTCTCACCTTGGGAAACGTCCTGGCGGGGGAAGAGGTTCGGGCAAGTCCGAGCATTGCGGGGAGTGCTCTCAAGGCCCGGCGGGTGGCAGCGGCGGCGAGGTCCGAGGAGCCCGGCTAGGGCCTGACCCCGGGCTGCGGCGGGAGCGTTTCCGGCCGGGGGACCAAGGCGGCCGCCGCGCCCCTGGCGCTCTCAAGTTTCCTGTTGGCAGCGCCAAGCCGGCGCCTCAGGTAGCGGCGGGCAGGCCTGGTTGGCGGGCAGGCGGACCTGCGCGGCGGCGGCGGCGGCTCGGCCCGCGCCGCTCTGCTGCCCGCTCGTCGCCTCTCCGCTCCGCGCCCAGGTAGGGCACCGACTGGGGCGGCGCGCGGCTGGCGGGCTTCTTCCGTGAGGAGGCGGCTCTCCTCCTCTGGCCGGGCCGGCGCGGGGTCTCGGAGGTGCGGGCGCCACGGCGCTGCGCCCGCAGAAGGCTCGGTCCACGCCCCTGCCGCGGGGCTGCACCGCGGGCTCCCGGTGAGCAAGCGGGGGGCGCGGCCTGGTGCAGGCCCGGCCCCAGCCCGCGGCGGTGCCGGGCAGCCCCTCCGCGGCGCTCGCCGTGCGCCCTGCTCAGTGCCGCCACCTGCGCTCCAGCCTGGCGGCCGCCCCCTGCGGGCCCACGGCAGGGCCCTGGCACCCGAACCCTATGAGGGCGCGGGATGCCGCGCTGCTGACCTTGGGCCCGTGCCCCGCCGCCCCTCCTGCCCGGGACGCGAGTCGGAGTGCCCCGAGGTCGGAATCTCGGCTCTGGGCTTCCCAGCCTACCCCGGCGGCGCCGACCCGGGGCTCAGCCCTGCTTGGGTCCTTGCGGGTATTCCTGCCGCTCTCTGCGGTGGCCTGGGCTCCAGAGACCTCAGGTGAGCCAGCCTCATCTCAGCTCCCTGGCGGCCTACTTTTAGAGAAATTAAGGGGCATGCCGCCACTTAAGTTCCCGGACAAGTTTCTAGGTGCTTGAGGACTGGCCAGATGCTCACTGCGGGGGGGCGCGGGGGGGGGCACTTCCACCTAAAGGCAGGGAAGTGGACAGAATGACAGGGTGATGGGTTCATTTGAGGCCTTCATCCTTACCTCTTCTGGCTGTCTCCCAGCATGGGACGTGTATTGGCTCCTGGAAGTCTGCTTTTTGCCCTTGAACTTCCTGGTAGCTGCTTTGCCCGTGCAGCTCCTAATGGCTCTTCTTGGCTGGCAGAGGCCTCTGGGGTGAGTTTCCAGGGACCGTGGAGTAGAAGAGGCTTGCTAACTACAGTGTCATTTCCCCAAATTTTTAGGTCCCTGTATGTATCTGGAAGCTTGGGGGTGACGGATTAGCAAAGAAGCCAGGTGAAAGCTGGGAGGAAGGAATTTTAGCAGGGTCCCGAGCCCATGTTGGCTATCCCCCTTGACATGGTGGCCAACAATTGGCTAGCTTCAGGGAAAAGCTGTCAGCAGCTGGAGCTCTCATGGGAGAAATTCCTCCCCTGGCTGTGAAGCATCAATGCTGAGTGGTAGTTGAGCTACTGAGCCAGTCAGACAGAGCCCCTATCAGCTCTCACCTCTCCAAGTGTTGACAGCAGGTTTGGAATAATGAGCTTGGCCTGGTTGTAATTCTAGGTGAAACTCTGAGGGGCTGGCTTGCTGTGAAGATGATGGTACCCAGCTGCCCTACCTAAGAATCATGGAGTTTGCATGGATGGGCTGCTAGGAGACTCTTCGACCTCTTAGCTCCATCCTCAGCATACCCTCAATCCTTTTGAGATCCTAAATAAGGGATGAGTAGCTTTCAGAGAGATCAGAAAGTTCTTTAAGAGATGAGGCCTATTTTTCTTGCCCTTACACTAGGCAAATCACTCTTCAAATGGCTCTAAAATCAATCCCAGGTATTGAAAATACCTTAGGCAGATGAAATATATCCTTAGGATTAAGCAAGGAGATACCTTTACTCTCCTAAAGCTACTTATGGCCTTCCTGGTTCTTCCCTCGAATATATTAATCTCTTAGATCTTTTGAGTGATGGCTGCATATCGAGGAGAGCAGACCATGTCTTTGGGCTTTGATATATAAGAGGCTAAGGCATAGGAAGATGGGCTCATGGCTGTAGCCCTAGCCATACAAAGTCAGCAAGAAGTATCAAGCCTAGAGGAGGAAGCTATTCCTACTGATCTGGTTTCACATTTAAACATGGTTTCCTTCTTGCTTCCAAATTGGAGCTTGAGAGAGAGAGTGCCTGGCATACAACAGTACTCAATAAATAATGTTGAATAAAAGGACTCAGTGTCTAGGTGAAGCGTCATGTTTTGTTTTCCCAGTTGGACTCTCTCTTGTACCTGATATCATGATGACAATGATGTTGATAAATAATACTTATAAAGCACATACTATGTGCCAGGTACTATTCCAAGCCTGTTCTAGCATATGTAAATATGCCATTAATTGCCATGACAACCTATGAGGTTGGTACTGTTAGTATCCCCATATTGTAGAGAATAAAACTAAGCCAGAGAAATTGAGTAACTTGCTCAAGCTCATGCAACTAAGTTGTGGAACAGGATTCAAACCCTAGGTAGTCTGGCTTGAGTCCATATACTTAACCATACGCTGTACTGGCTCTTGAGATTGCCATAGATGGATTAGTCACTTAGCTTATTCACTTGTTATTTTATGCATTCATTCATTCAACGAATATTTATTGATATCAACTATGTTCTAGTCATGGGGATATAATAGTGAATGAAATGGGCAAGATCTGTCATGGAGCTGGTTTTTAGTAGGTGAAACCCCTTTGTCCAACTGCCATGTGAGTCATGCACATCTCAGGAAGACAAAGAAGGAAAATCAACTCCTATAGGCAAGCCGAAAGCAACATTTCAGAAAAAGGGAAAGTAGTATATTTCTTGGTGAGACATAATTTGATTCTAGCCTTTCCTGTCTTAGAGTTTGTGAGGGGCACGGAAGTGATAAAAGTGAATGCAGTCTGGTCTCCTGGGAGGAAGATACAGGGCCTGGGACCAGTTATCACAGATTGTCTTAATTTTTGTTTAAAAAGGAAATAAGTCTTTGAGCTTGAGACCAGTGCTCCTTAGTCCAGGGAGACTTCTAGGCCACAGGGGCAGTGACATATTAGGCTCAAGATGGATTTGTGAGCTCATGAGCAAAATTTGCCCTCCCAAGACAAGCCACATTTTCCTCCTAAACTGCCACTCTCCTGGAGGGTCTTCTATCTCTTTGGTTCTAGCAGGACCCTTGCCCATTGCCCCGACCTACGTTATCTTTGCTGGGCTGCTGCCCATCTCTGTCCAGACCTAATGGAGTGAGTCTCACACCCCTACCTGGGACTCAGGAAGGCAGCCTCCTCTATGTTGGAAAATGAAGGCTCGAAGTGGAAGGCATTTTCCAAAGCCTGTGCCACGGATATTAATAGGTGTTTTCCTATGGTGGCGATGGTCAGAGGGTCAAATAAGTGTGTTGGGCTAAACAAAGTCAAATAGCTTTCTTTACTAAGGGACTCTCTGGTGTTTAGAATCTGCTAGAAGGAATTGTGCATGAATCCCCATATGGGATTATTGTATGCAGTATTTTCCAAGCCTTTTGTCTTTTTATGTTCTACAGACTACACTTTGAAAAATGCTTGTTTAGACTGAGGCTATCTATGGTCTGGTTACAGGTGTAGAATAGAATTCCCTGAACTGGATCCAGGGAGGTTCTCAGATGCATGGGCTAGGATGCTCCCAATACCGCCCCAATTGAACCTCCCCCTTCCCCAAAACAGAAGGAATCACTTGCCCCTCTTCCCCCCCGGCAGAACAGTACTAAGGGCCTGGACCCTTCCCTCCCTATGCTTGAAGTTCGTTCAGTTATTTAATGAATACATATCCTCCTCCCCCTAGGTTGCTTGTAGCTTGCTGATCGCACTGTTTATGAAACAGCTGTGAGGACAGGTGGGTCATAATCTCTGGGTAGCTAAAGCCCAGTAACAGCCCGAGGATCATGTGTCAACCCTGTAATCCTGCTCTGCACACACAGGAGTCATTATGTGGGCTCAGGAAGGCACAATCTCACAACTGGACATGAGGAGGTGACTCAGGCCCAAGCCAGGACTAGACCTAGCCTCCCAGTAAACAACTGACCCATCCTTTCTGGGCTCTTGTCCCCAGGATTTCAACAGCAGCACAGAAATAGCCATTTTGCTCACGGTTATTTCCCAGACCCACACCATTTGTCTAAGTTACTGTGTGGGTTCTGAGGCTTTCTTTTAGAGGACTGCTCCTGTGGGTCACTTGAGGCGGCTCCACGGTCCCTAAGGAGAGCAGCAGCTGCTGGTGCAGGGTGGCCGAGTGCAGCCAGTGCCCAGGAGGCTAGTCAGAGCTGGAGGTCCTCGTGGGAGCAGAGAGCGGCAGTAAGAGGGGGAGGATGGGGCCGGTGGGCTCAGGCGGGTCAAGAGGGACGTGCTTCTTTTCTTTTCCGTGTGTGTGTGTGTGTGTGTGTGTGTGTGTGTACGTGCGTGCGTGCGCATGTGCTCATGCACTCAGGCTCTGGTAGAGCCTGTCAGGCTGCCCAGTCACCTGTGATGTCGTCTTCCTTCAGGGAAGAAAGGAAGGAGTGGGACAAGGCGTGGCAGCTTCTCATCCTAGCCTGTTCCAGTGCTGAGGAGTCTCCTCTCCCTGAGTCTCTGTCCCTTTCCTGGGAAAGGAGGGAACAGTTCAAAGCCCTTGCTCTTTTAGAGGAGGAGGGGGAGGAGGAGCTCTAATGATAACCGGGCACAGCGCCACCCCTGCCAGTGCTGGGGTGCCTTCAGGGAGGTTGCTTTGGGGGGCCTTCTGAGGGAAGTCAGACCAGGTTGTGCCGTAGACAATCCCCTTGGTAGAATGGACCTGGTCTCCAGGCCAAGCCTGAGGTGGAGTTCAAATGGAAGCAGCAGAGGTGATGGTATGGCACGTTTCAGGGGTCTGGTCATTAGAGGGAGGCTGTGACTTAGTGGCCTATCTTCCGTGTTCCGTCAGGAAGGCTGAATGAACTGTTGTGTTGGGGGCAGCAGCGGCTTTGTGTCTTGCTCTGGAGAGGGCTGAGAACAGGGCCCAGGACACTGCATTGAGCACGCAGCGGCTGTGGATAGCTGGCATTACCTGGGCCCTTTAGGAGTCTTGGAAATTTTCCACTTACATTTCATATTCACGGAAGAATTTCCAGCCCAGACGCTTCCTGCTCTTGCTCAGGGCAGCTCACAGATATGCAAATCAGAGACCTCCCACCCCGGCAGCGGCAGACAGAACCCAGCCAGCTGCACTCGCACAGACTCAGCTCAGCCTCCCGGGCATCCACAGCCCATGGCCTGAGTGCCTCGCCTGTGTGGCATCCTCAGGATCAGCCATGGAGATTCCAGCCTCAGGCTCAGGTCTGTGTCATGGGTTCTGACAGTGGGAGTCTGGCAAGAGCAAGAAACAGCGTCGTTCGTGTAAGGAGGGGATTTAAGTGGTACTGTGCTTCCTTTCTGGAGGGGCTGTGGTGCCAGGAAAAGTTACTGTTTGTTGAAATGGTGGCATTTTATAGCTTTCTAACTTTGGGACACTTCTTCAAGCTCATCAGAGGGTGTCATTTGCAACAGCGAGATAAGCTGTATCCCTAGCTGATTGAATTTGTGGTTAAGCCTCCCAAGCCTGCCGACTTCAGCGACTTCAGCTGACAGTTGACAAACGGTTGAAAGGCAGGCTTGAAGAAGCAGCTGGAGCTGAAACTCTGCTTGGCATCTACAGAGCAGGCTTTCCTCACAGAAGGCTGCCTTGCCAGGTGTCTGTAGGTCTCAGAAAAGAACAGAGCTGTGGAGGGAGGGGCTGGCAGAAGGGAGCTCTCTGCCAAGGATGTCAGGAAGACAGATGTATAACGGGCTCCTAAGGCTCACTGACTTAGCCCAGCACCCCAACTGGGTTACCTGGTCTATACTAAGGTATGGAGTAAAGTCTTCACCACTTATTGAAGACACTGGTAGTAATTCTGCAAGAGGTTGATATGGCTTCTGCAACGAAAGGAATCTATGTCTTTAGGGAAATGCTGCTGTACGATCCTATTCCTGAGTCTTTGATGTGCCTTGGGAGGAATCTGGGGTGAGGAACTGTATAGCATCTCCCTGATAATTGGCCGCAGGATCTGTTTTACCAGCAACAAGTGTTGACCTTTCATGGGAAAAGGCTGATTTAAACCATTTAAATAGGAAGGAAGATCTTTTCTAGGAAGATGGATCCTGAAAAATATGTTTAGTTGATTTTAGCGAGGTGAAAATGCTTCATGGAAAGACATGGCAGGGACTGTGATAAGAGCCCTCAGACACAAAGAACCCTCTACCCCATGCCCATTTCTGAGGAGGCCTGGTGGGCTGTGGCTGGGTCAGGCCTGTGTATGTTTGCAGGGGAAAGGGCCAGGGGGTAGAAAGGGAGTGGTGGGCAGTTTCTGTCCAGGGCAAGAGCTAATGCAGAGATGGAACTCAGTGATCTAATTCCCTTGGCTGGTCTATGTCTGGTGTGGGATAGGTAGGAGAGGACCCTGATTACCAAGACCTGGGATGTAGAAGTTTGTTTTTTTTCCTATTTTCCTTTTACAAAAAAACAAAAACAGGGGCGCCTGGGTGGCTTAGTCGGTTAAGCGTCCGACTTTCGCTTAGGTCATGATCTCGCAGTTCGTGGGTTCGAGCCCAGCGTAGGGCTCTGTGCTGACTGCCAGCTCAGAGCCTGGAGCCTGTTTCAGTCTATGACTCCCTCTCTCTCTGACCCTCCCCTGCTCATGCTCTCTCTCTCCTGGAAATAAATAAAACATTAAAAAAAAAAAGTTAAAAAAAAAAACAAAAACAAAAACAGAAACAAAAACCCCTTCAGTCTATTTATTTTCTGGGGCACCTGGGTGGCTCAGTTAGTTGAGTGTCCAACTAAGGTTCACGTGGTTGGTGGGTTCAAGCCCTGCGTCGGTCTCTGTGCTGACAGCTCCGAGCCTGGAGCCTGCTTTAGATTCTGTGTCTCCTCTCTCTCTCTGTCCCTCACCCACTCACAATAAGCAGAAAGTGTTTATTCTCAAAGTTGTTTTAATGTTTATTAACATTAAAAAATACTTATGTTCTTTCTATCTTCTTTGTGTTTGTTAAAATGACATTATAACAGCATCAGTGATCAAAACAGGACACACGGAGTCCTGTCACCTGGTCATCTGAGTGTGTGTCTCTCTTCCAGTCCTTGTCCTTAAGGGAATGCATTTTCATCTCACTGCAACCAAAGCATAGGTACAGTTTTATGTATTAATTTTTTCATTTACTGTTATTTCACAATATTTTTTATGTGATTGCACTGTCCTCATAATTACAATTTTGGTTATAAACTTTTGGTTGCTTGACCTTTTTTTCCAAGTGAATGTGCTCTCATTTGGACATTGTAAAACTTTTTATATAAATAGTGCAGATAAACATCTTTGTGCTTTTTCTTTCAGATTCTTTTCTTAGAAGCAATTTCTGGAACTGGGTTTACTCTTTCAAATGGTATGGATGCTTTATGGCATTTGCTGCCCCTTGTCTGGGTCTCTGCCATGTCCACTTCTGAGATGCCCTGTAGGGCTGTAGAATGCTGCACTTGACCCGCAACCTTAGAGTGGAGGGGAAGGGGCTGATGGTGGTCCAGCTTCATTTTTACCTAACAGCTCCCTTTGACTCTAGTTCTTTGTCTTCCTCTCCATTTGTCTCTTTGTCGCCTTCTTCCCCAGGCCCCCTTCTGATGATTTCCAGCTTCCTCTTCTGTGTGCTATCAGGATGTGGACATCTCCACAGGCAGCTCTGGTCTCTTCCTCTTTGCAGGTCTGGCCTTCGCTGTCTTGCTCTCTGCTGCCACAGATCAGCACAGTTACATGCAGACTTCCTCCCTTCTCAGCAGCTCCCTCCCACTCAACCCCCTGGAGGGGAGAGAGGCCCAGGAAAGCCATGACCTGGGTGTGGAGGGAAGTAGGAAATTGGTTTCACAGTCAAGGGCTCACAGATGTTCTTTGACTGGTGTTAGTTATTGCCTGCTTTCTTCCTTCATGTCTGTGTCATGAATTAGGCACACAAGCTGCAGAGAAGACCAGAGCAGCAAGCATCCTTGGGCACCAGAAACCTCTCTGGTACCTCTCTAGAAATTACAACACTTAGAACTGAGAGGACCTTGGAGACTGCCTAGTCTCATCCCTTTATCTCACAGAGGAGAAAACTGTGTGGCACAGAGAGTGACTGTCCCAAGGCTGCTCAGTGAGCCCCTCCTCTCCTGTAATTGTTTCCTCTCCCAGCCACATGCCACATGGAAACTGGGCCCCTGTCCTACCTTCATCCTCATCTCCCGGCTGACTAAACCACCTCTCTCTTTAAACCTTGCTCAAAGAAGCTGTGGTAATAGGTAGACAGGACACCCTTCTTCCAGAGCCACTTTAGTGAAGGTAGCTTGTTGACAAGATGCAGTATTCCTCCACTCCATAAGTGTGATGTTGGGCACAGCAAGGGGACCTGCCCTGACACCCACCTGGGCAGAGAGAAGCACCACAGTGTAGTGGTTAAGAATACAGAGATGGGAACCGGGTGCCTGGGTTCAAACCTTTGAACAGAGGCTCAGAGAGGAAAGGAGCAGGGGAGCCAAAGGCTGAGACCAGTCCAAGTCTCTGCTCAATTAATGAAAGCGTGACTCCAGGCAAGTTAATTAACTCCGTGCCTTCATTTTCTCACCTGTAAAATGTGAATAATAGGATTCACTGAGTTAAGAAGTAGAAAGAGCTTGGGAGAGTGTACTTATTAATGAGTTCTACCTATATAAATGTTAAAGGAAAGACAGACAGAAAGAAAGAAAAGAAAGGAACCAACCAGGTAATTTAGGCCAGCTATGGATAGTGAGGAGCCAGTATGAAGAGAGATAGATAGGCCAAGCTTTGAGGAAGTAAGTTTTCAGCTAGGCTGTGAAAGGTAGAGTACCCCTGCCTCTAAACCTTAATTTTATTTGCTGTGTCTTGTTCAGAGTTCCAGAAAATTTGGGAGACGGTATAACCATGATGGTAGATTCTTTTTTCTCAGCAAAAGACGGTGTTTTATGTGATGAAGAATGTAGCTTTGGGTAGCCCAGAGCACTGCAGCCATCTTGTGAGACCTTAGGCTAATCATTAAGACCTTTGGGCTTTCGCAGTGGGGAGCGAGGTCTGGTCATTGCTGTATGCACACGGCCCCCTGACAGTCTGCAGGAGAGTGGTCTGAACTCTCCTATCCTTTCCCCATCATGGAAACAAAGCCAGGAAAGGTATGACTGCCAGCATGCTGTGGGTCCCCTGTGTTTGGGACAACAGAAACGCACGTAATAGGTCATTCTTTGACTTCCGGATGTTTACCTTCTCATGAAAGGTGAGTGGCTCTACACTCTTCACATTTAATGACTTATGGAGCTAGTATTGGAAGCTGGCGCACTGGGCTTGGTCTGGGAAATTTCCCTTGTGTTAGTATTTTTTCCTTCCCCACCCGCTGACTCAGGCCATCCGGGAACTCAGGAGGCTAACGCTTGCTCTTTTTCTGCTAGCCGAGATGCCGCGCCAGTTTCCCAAGCTGAACATCTCCGAGGTGGACGAGCAAGTCCGGCTCCTGGCAGAGAAGGTGTTTGCTAAAGTGCTCCGAGAAGAGGACAGCAAAGATGGCCTGTCCCTCTTCACCGTCCCCGAGGACTGTCCCATCGGGCAGAAGGAGGCCAAAGAGAGGGAGCTACAGAAGGAGCTGGCGGAGCAGAAGTCCCTGGAGACGGCGAAAAGGTTTGTCTCCACAAGCCAGAGCCCGTGTGTACCGAGGCGCAGCCCCAGGCAGGCTGTGGGCATGAGATAGGGGGCCTATCCCTGGGAGCTGAGGTTATTCCTTAACCAAGACCCCTCTATTCCCCACTTCTTTCTTGAAGGCCGTTTCCAGGCCTGTGTTTGGCAGAAAAGATCAAAAAACACTTTTTTTCTGCTGCCATTTGAACAACACATAATGTGCATAAATACACACCATTTGCAAATGACTGTTCCATAATCTCTTTGGAAATTTGAGGATTTGTTGGAAAACATCAATTTTACTTCTTTTCATCGCTTGACAAGTACTTTGCATTATTAAATAAGTCAGTTCACTATGTGCCAGGTGCTGTACTGGGCATAGAGGATGCACTAATGAACAAGATATTTCTAGTCCCTGCTCTGGTGATCTTACAGGTAGTTGGTCTAGACAACAATTAAGTTATGGGACAAATTAAATTTTTTAAATGGTGAGTTATGATAAATGCTGTATCACTGAGGGTCTAACCAGAAAAAAACCCAGAAACCACTTAAATACTGGAAGGAGGATTTAAAATTCTTCCTTTTTTAAAGTTCATTTATTTTTGAGAGACAGAGTGTGAACAGGAAAGGGGCAGAGAGAGAGGGAGACACAGAATCTGAAGCAGACTCCAGGCTCTGAGCTGTCAGCACGGAGCCTGACATGGGGCTCGAACTCACAAACTGTGAGATCATGACCTGAGCCGAAGTCAGATGCCTAACAAACTGAGCCACCCAGGTGCCCCTGGAAGGAGGACTTTAATTCAGGGAATGGTTGCTGAGGTGGCAGAGAACTGAGAAGACAAGCAGAGGGCAGGGAGGCAGGCCGGAGACTCGAAGCAGTTACAGCAGCAGCTACCACTCGAGGCCGCAGGGATGACAGAGGGAGATGGGGCTGCTGGAGCCCAGGGTGGAGGAGTTAGAACCCTGGTGGCCTTTTTAATGGAAAATGAGCCAAGGAGGAGAGGCAGCAGCTACAGAGATGCTTCCAAAGCAGAGATGGAAGCAAGAGATACCTGGCTTTAATCTTTCTGGCACCTTCTTGCTTCTCCACTGGTTGCCATTGGCCAAACCTAGCCAGAAGCCAGCTAACACAAATCCAGAAACACGGAGTGGGGATGGGTGGGAGGTTGAGGAGTGGATCTGAGGACAAGCAGTCCTAGCATGGGTGCTAGTAAGTAGGTGAATAAGTTGTTGAAAGAGAGAGAGAGAGAGAGAGAGAGAGAGACGGAGAGAGAGACCTGAGGCTGGAGGGATAGTCAGGGCTCAGGTCAGACTGACTGGTCTTGTGAGACGTTTGGATCATAGTCCAAGTGCAATGTGAAGCCTTCATCCTTTCAGTTGAGCTCCCCCAGGAGAGCGGAATTAAAGAATTGAAGAGGTTTGAGAACCTGTCTAGTAGGGCTTTAGTCGGGTGCCTGGCCCGCCAGCACACTGCAGACCTCAGAGCTAACACAGTAGAACGCGAGCCTTAACTGTGACCCAGTCGCCAATCACGTCCTTGACTAAGATACTTCCTTATTTTTAAAAGCAACCCTTTGCTTTCTTGGGAGTAGAGAATTTCAGTATCTCCTTAACTTTTGGGGAAAGAAGTAAAAAGTTGAGTACAGGTGTAAAGACTTCCACCTTCCATTAAATAAGTGAGGGCCTCTGACCCACGGAGTGGAGGAGTAGTGAGTGCCAGCCTGTGTTGGGGCGGCGGGGGGAGTGGCTGGAGGCCCAGCAGTGTGTTCATCCCTAGAGGGTCAAGAAGAGCGTGACTGTAGAGGCCCTCATCCACACTGCACTGGCTTAACAGAGGCCTGGCTTTGTGAACCGAATGATATGCAGGACCCTCTGTGTTGTATGAATTGAGCATTTTAGACCCTTAATAATGAGAAGAGAAGAAGTCCTGGCATTTTTTATTATTGAGAATAGTGGGGTTCTGAGGCCAGTTTCCATTACAGGGTGACCCTGAGCCTCACATCTGCAGAAAGAGAGTGTGCTCTTCTGATCAATGCCTAGGCTAACAGCAAAATGGAAACCTTCTTACTCTAAGTCCAAGTGGTGCCCTGTGGTTTTCAGAAATTCCTCCATAGGCTCCTCTCCAGAAATCCTGTTCTGTCCCTGCTTGCTAGGATGTGATGGTCTTGGTTTGCATCTTTCTGCTGCCTAACACTGGAGGCTCCTTGAGTTTTGTATCCAGGTCCCCAGGGTCCAGCCTAGGGCTTAGGCCATGTTGGTGAGCAGTGGATGTGTGACAGAGAAAAGTTGTAATAGCCTCACAGATAGTACATCAAGGTGGCTACAGCTCTCTGGACCACTGTGTTCTGCCACTTGATAGTATGTTCTCTGACCTTAGAAAATTAGGAGACCTTGCTGTGCCCCAGTTTCTTTCTCATCTATAAAGTAGGGATGGTAACAGTAGCTACTTTTGTGGGGTGTTGTGAGGAATAAGGGAATTGACATGGAAAGGGCCTAGAATAGTGTCACAGTAAGCCCCCCGTAACTGTTCACTATTTGCCCGACTTCCTCCTGAGTAGACGGCATCTGCTACTGCTTACTGTGGGCTCAGTGCTGGGCTGGGTGGTCTGCTTTCATTCTTTAATCCCCACATCAAGCTTATTAATTGGATATTCTTATTGACTTCCATTTTGCAGGTTAGGAAACTAAGGCTCAGAGAGGTTAAATTAACCTGTATGAAGATGCAGAGCGAGTGACAGGAGAGAGTAGAACCCACGACTTTTTTTTTTTAGTGTTTACTTTTGAGAGAGAGAATGCATGCGTGTGGGGAGGGGCAGAGAGGGGGAGGGGCAGAGAGGGGGAGGGGCAGAGAGAGGTAGGGACAGAGTATCTGAAGCGAGCTCTATGCTGACAGCAGTAAGCCCAATGCAGGGCCTGAACCCACCAACTGTGAGATCATGACCTGAGCTGAAGTGGGACACTTAACCAAGTTGGACGTTGAACTGACTGAGCCACCCAGGTGCCCCAAAGAACCCACAGTCTTTTGAATCTAGAACCCCACACTTTGATCATGAGGCTATTCCATCTCTAGGCAGGGGTGAGTCTTTGGTTCCACCTGTAGATACTGGAATGACACTGGGTGCTGCTCTCCAGGGTATCATTGCCGGCTTTTGAATGAAATAAAGGGAAGCTGGGCCAAAGCTCCCTGCTGCCCACTGGCTTCTTTTCTGCCAAAGGATGGACTGATCCTTGGACTACCTCTCAGAGCAGTACATCCCTAATCTGTCTTTCAGCCTCACTGCTGCATAGAGGCACCGTTATGCAATCATTCAGATGTGGACGGTCCCTGGAGAAACTGAACCCTCTCCCTAGCTTCCTCGTTGTCTCTGGCTCCTCCCTGACATTCTGGAATATAAGTGCAAGAGAGTATGAACATCTCCTGTTTATTCTTCCTTCATATGATAAGCTTGGTGATCTTGTTTCGTATCATGTGACAGATTTAAGGAAGGAGCTTAGAAGTGGAGAGAGGGATCTCTCCAGGCAGGGTCATTGTGGTGACTGTGAGCTCAAGCGTGGGAGTCAAGGCCACTGGGTTCAAATGATGCCGGAGTCTTACCACTGAGTGCCCTTGGGCGAGGTCTTCACTGCAAGGGCCTATTTTCCGGTCTGTGCAATGAGGATAATAAAACACCTACCTTGGAAGAATTAAGTGAGCTAATATGCATGGCTACTTAGGAACATCATTAGTGTTCTTGTTTCTGTCATTATTATTTGACAGTCACCAGTGAGGGATGAAACTATGAAAAGCAGACATAAGAATTTGAAGCACAGCAGTCTTGGGACAAAGTGCCTTTAAGCTCATGACCGGGTAACGCGGTGATGACTCTGAGTCATCGAGAGAACTTGAAATTATGTTCAGCACGCTCTGATTAAGATACAGGAATTATGAATTTTATTAAAAAGGCCACATCATAGTTGTTATTATTTTAATTAGGGTACAAAAGGGACAGACTTTGTCTGAAAAATATAGCTTTCTAGAACAGCTGCTTTCCCAAGTAAAATAGATAAAGAGATAGTTGTTATGAGTTGGGCATAGTACAGCTACAGTGTTATTAAATCATTTTGTTTAATGAAATTTCTTTTTTTTTTTTTAAGTATTTATTTTTTCGGAGAGCACAAGCGGGGGAGGGGCAGCAACAGAGGGATTCTGGGGAGGGGCAGCAACAGGGGGACTCTGGGGAGGGGCAGAGACAGGGGGACTCTGGGGAGGGGCAGAGACAGGGGAACAGAGGATCTGAAGCGGGCTCTGTGCTCACAAGCTGACAGGCTGACAGCTGACAGCAGTGACCCCAATGTAGGGCTTGAACTTGCGAACTGCGAGATCATTATCTGAGCTGAAGTCAGGCACTCAACCGACGGAGCCACCCAGGTGTCCCTATTTAATAAAATTTTTTAAATCATGGCTACATAACTTTTAAAATTCAAGGCCATTAACAAAGGAGATTCATTTAAAACTGTTTGATTCATCTGCTTTTAAAGTTAAGAATAGAGAGGATTAGGCCTCATTTAAAAGATAGTAAAGATTATACTTCCTTTTGACCTCTGGGGGCTTTGAGGAGGAAGGGCAGTGGGAAGGGAGCTGGCAGGCAGTGGAGACCTACACTTGGTCAGGAGGGAGCAGAGGGGGACAGTGGCAAGGAGGGCAGGTTATCAGAGGGAAGTGAAGGGAGAAACAGGGGGTTGAGATTGTGAGTTTTTACATCTGATAGGCATCAAAGCCACACCCACCTGAGCAGGTCACTGGTCGCCTGGTGGGCACACGGAATAAGTGTTCTCCATGGGGCCCAAGCGCCTGCCCATCACGGAAGTGCACCATAGTCAGCTGTGCCTGCTTTCTCCCTGCTGGATAGGCTGGGACCTCTGGTCTCAGTCACTGCTCCCCTTTTTAGGCCACGGCTCCCCAGTCTCACATGAAACACTGCAGTGACAGTGGAAGCAAGAGCAACAGCTAGGCCTCTGGATGTGGGGAATGCCTGCCCCACCTAATGGTATTCCGATTAAAACTGTGAGTAAATCTCCACGCTGGTTTGTGACTCTTGCCCCAAACATTTATTTACAAATTTTAAAAAATGTTTATTTATTTATTTTCGAGAGAGAGAGAGAGAGACAGACAGACTGTGAGAGGGAGAAGGGAAGAGAGAGAAAAGGGACAGAGGATCTGAGGCGGGCTCTGCACTGACAGCAGAGAGTCTGATGTGGGGCTCGAACCCACGAGCCATGAGATCATGACCTAAGCCGAAGTTTGATGCTTAACTGACTGAGCCACCCAGGCGCCTCTCTTGCCCCAAGTCTTTAAAATGGTAATTCTCATCTGGAGAGGGAGAGGCTACCAGAATGATCTGAGTATGTGGGGGGTGGGGGGAGGTGTTCAAACAAGCCTGCTCCTTCTGAAGTGAGCCCTCTACCTTTGAGAATGATGCAGGGGGACGTCTCTGACCCTGCTGCTTCTCTGCTCCCACCCTCAGTGTGATCAGGTGTCTCCTCTGGCATCCCAAAGTATCTGGAGTATCTCACACACCAACCAGTGTTGTTGTGTGACAGTCTGCTGAGCTGTCTGGCCATCTCTGCCATCATCAGTCAGCCCTTGGAGTCCAAGGTGTATTTTCTATCTTCTATCCTGGGGCCTGGCACTTGGTACTTTATTGAATAAAGTGACTTGCTATACACAATTGAGAGCCTCTGGTGAAAGGTTTGGTCTGGTGACTTTCCCTGCCTTCAAGTCCTCTGGACAGACTACATAGGGGTGGTGGGCTTCTGAAGGTCCTTGGAAAGATGCCGGCTATTCTCTAGAGGATTGAAGAGGGCCTTGGAGTTCTTAACTTAGGTTTAACATATGAATCAAATGTTATTACAAGAAGGCTCTGGGGTGCCCAGCTGCTGAGGAGGGCTAGAGAACAGAGCAGGGTAACGATGGGGACATGGGGACATAATGAATGGCAGGAGTGGTCAAAGGCCATAGAGGTGGGGCGGGAGGGGCGCCAGGGAGGTGTTAAGAAATACCACAATAATAGCCCATGTGACCAACTCATGTCCTTGGCCCGTTTGTGCAGGAAGGTTCTTGTGGTCCAGAAGTGCCATCTGCTTCAGAGATGACAAAGCTGCTCCTTGGGCCCTCAGGCCTGGCCTGGAGCTGATGTTCTCACAGCCCCACACCCTGCCAGCTCTTTGGTGGGAGTGAGTTTCTGCCAGGTGGATGTGTGGGTGGGGGAAAGAGGGGGCGTGCCAGCCGTGGCAGAGAGAACTGGCTTGCTCTGTTGCCCCATGGGCGAGCATGAGGTACAACAGGTGGGACTGTGGACAGACAGATCTTGGCCCATCATAAGGAAATGCTTTCTAACAGTGGCAACAGATCATGTTTTGTTCACCTTGTTTGTGTGCTTAGCACTGGCCTGGCCCAGAGTATGTGCTTGGTAAGTGTTTCTTGAATAAATGATTGATTGCTGATATCTTATCCAGAAATGTAATGAGCTGTCTGTCAGTGGAGGTATTCAAGCAGAGGCTGTGTTAGTGACAGAACCGGGGTGTGTAGTGTTTAAAATCCTTTCCAGCTAGGACACTCCATGGTTCTATAATCCAGATAAAGCTTATTTTATGCTTATTAAAAGACAACTTCTTTTATTGCTGTTACACATGTGGGGCTTCAGACAGCCTTGACAGGTGTGTGGACACACACACACATTCAGTCACTCACTTGCTGCTTTCCACCTTTGTTGGCTGAGCCCTGGTTGAATAGAATGGTACTAGATACGGACCTAAGGTAGACAGAATTTCTAAAATGCACCCCATCCACCAAAGATGGCCCTTCCTAATCTCCAGACTCTCTGAATATGATGAGACATCACTCAGCGATTATACTGTCGTATGTGGCACAGTAGTAGACTTGAAGATAAGGAGGCTACAGAGGTGGACCTGATCTAATGACACATATATAAAGAGTGGGGGCCTCCGGCTGGTAGTAGAAGGAAGTCAGAGGTTTGGAGAACAGAGGCAGCTATGCCTGGCTGTGAAGATGGAGGGGACTGTATTCAAGAATCAGAGAGCAACCCCTGCACAGTAGCCACCCAGGAACGGGAACCTCAGCCTTATGGCCACATGGAACTGGATTCCACCAACAGCCTTGGATGAGCATGGACTCCAGATAAGAGCTCAGTGATGCCATCATCTTGATTTTAGCCTTTTGATACCTGGAGCCTAGAGCCCAGCCAAGCCTACCCAGACTTCTCACTTACACAACTGTGAGCCAAGGGGCCTCTGGGTGGCTCAGTCGGTTAAACATCCGACTTCAGCTCAGGTCATGATCTTGAGTTTCGTGAGTTCAAGCCCTGCATTGGGCTCTGTGCTGACAGCTCAGAGCCTGGAGCCTGTTTCGGATTCTGTGTGTCCTTCTCTTCTCTGCCCCTCCCCTGCTCGCACTCTGTCTCTATCTTTCCCAAAAATAAATAAACATTAAAGAACTATGAGCCAATAAATGGGTGTGGTTTTAAGCCACTAAGCTTGTGGCAATATGTTATGTGCAGCAATAGAAACTGAATACAGGGCCCTGTCCTTGGGCTCCATTTAGCTTTTCCAGCTTTCTGAGATACAAGCTTAATGGTTAGCCCTCTAGTTACCCCAAGCCCTTGCCCAAGGTGAGCAAGCCCTGAGGCGTTGCCCCATCTGTTTAACCTGTCCCTTGTGCCTGAAACATCTGAGATCCCAGCCCCGGGATGTTCACATGTGACAGTCTAGCCCTCGCTTGAAGACTCAAGACAAGAGCCATAATGGATGTCTTCAAGAATAATTCTTTGGGCACCTGCTGGTGGGTACTGGGTTCCTCACTGAGGCAGAGGAATATGGACATTCCTAGGACAAGCCTGGTGGGCTCTTGGCTTAGGCAGCCTTCCAGCTTCCTGATCAAGGTGGGCTTTATTATCTTTCTTACTTGTTGCTCACCTTAGCCGTTACCTTGCTTCTCCTTGGTGAGGCCAGCCCTCAGGCAGCATTGGCTGAAGCATGGGGGGTGAAGTTGGCAAAGAGATAAAAACACTGAGCTGGCAGGCATGTGAATGACACAAATGCCAGAGTCTCATGGGGCCCTGCTGAACCGATCAGAATATTAGAGGGAGCCCAAAGTAATAGCTCTTCCTGTAGGTGTGAACACCCAAAAGATGCCAAAGTGAGAACTGTATTGCTCAAAGTGAACCTGCCTTTGAGGAATGATTGACTGGCATGAGTCAACATCTTCCTTGGGGGTAGGTTGCTTGGCTCAGCTCTGTGGAATGGATGGATGGCAGGCTGGAGAGAGCCGGGGTTGCAGGCTCCTGGAGTTCAGGCTGTTTCCTGAACAGCTCAGTGCATCTGTTATGCAGGGCCATGGGTGAGGCAAAGTCAGACTCTTGAAAAGGGGCTGCCTCTACTTTCCAGGTGTAAACAGCCTTGCCCCAAAGAAGTGATAACACAAGTGGGCAGATAAGGACCTGAGAGCCATGACAAGTGTTGGGTGTGTAGACAGAGGAGGTAAATGTGGTTCCTGAAAAATTAGCAATGGGCCTGTGAGGAGACCTGGTCAAGTGTCAGGAGGAAGACAACCGCTTCCGGGTGACACATGACGCCTGTTTGGAAATCAACCAATTTCTCTGCCACTTCTAGGTGTCATGGTATCTGGAGTAGAGAGGGGTTCTATGGGTCTGTGGGTCACTGAGGCCTTTGCTGGTGGCTGTAGGCCCTGGGTATCCTGCTGGGTCCTCAGCTGTTTCTGGCATTGGGCACTGCTGGGTGCCTATGCTGGGGACTGGGGTCATTAAAGGCAGAAAGAGATCCGGGAGAGGGGAGTGCTCATGGTTTTACCTCATTGCGGGTTAACTCCCTTCCTGGAGATCCTAGGACTTGGGGTGGTGAGTGTTCACAAATCACTGCAAAATAAGCATGAGCTTGTGGCATTTTAGAACCAACCTGTGCCCATTTCCCCAAGAGTTTGTGAAATCATCTTTTGGTGCTAAGTGACCAAAGGGACCTGAAATTGATGCTGATCGATCTCTTTCTCATAACAGAGATACAGATCTGTGCCTGCCCAGAAGTAGTAGCAGCCAGGGTAGCACAGAGTAGGCACAGGAAAGTGCAGAGGGCATGACAGGGTGGAGCAGGTCCCAGAGAGGCAGTAGGCTACTGACTAACTGCCACTGTGACCTTGTGCAAGCCCTTTTCCGTCTCTGGACCCCTGACTCCTTCATGTAAAAAGGTGGGACTAATTGGTCATCATGATCTCTTCTGGCTCCAGTGCCCCAAATTTTGAATGCTTTGAAATACAGGGTGTTTGTTCATCTGTGACCCTGTTCATTGTCCTTCCTGAGCTGTTCACATGCTGGGATTCAGAGTTTGGGTAACGTGACATGGTCCTCACTCCCCCTGCCCTCAGTGTTAGACCCCTGCAGTGTGGTCTGCTCTCTGTCTCTGAAGACAGTTGCCTTCTCTAATGTTCTGTGTGCCATGCACAGGCCACGACCATTCTCAGTGACCACAGGGAAGGGTATCTGGAGGACTATTGTGTACCTCAAGCAGAGAGATGTGTGTGAGAGGAAGGTGTAATTGGCAACTTTAAAAGAAATTTTTTTTTAATGTTTATTTTTGAGAAGAAGAGAAATGGGACGGGCAGGGAGAGAGGGAGACACAGAATCCAAAGCAGGCTCCAGGCTCCAAGCTGTCAGCACAGAGCCCAACGCAGGGCTCTAACTTACAGACCATGAGATCATGTCCTGAGCTGAAGTCAGAAGCTTAACTGACTGAACCACCCAGGCGCCCCTAATAGGCAACTTCCTAACGGTAGGGTCAGTACCAGTGATTAATCAGAGGGAAATTCTCCCACCACGTTACAAAGACTCTTTATCACTTGCCCCAATTAGTGGCTGATGTTTCCCACTTTTCCTTGTCCTTGGCTTTTAGAAAGAAAAGTTTCAAGATGATTCGGTCCCAGTCCCTGTCTCTGCAAATGCCGACGCAGCAAGATTGGAAGGGCGCCCCGACAGCTAGTCCGGTCCTGTCTCCCACTACCCCCATGTTCTCTGGAGCCACTTGCCAGCCCACGCCAGGGCCCTATGCCATGCCCGAGTTCCAGCGGGTCATCATCAGTGGAGATTACTGTGCTGGGGTAAGGTGTCTCCCGCTCCCCACTCCCTATGTGCTGCCCTGGGGGTTGTATGAAGGCTGATGTGCCTTGTGAAGAGACCGGGGTCCCCCAGGCCACTGGGGACATGCCCAGCCCTGAAGCCTGTTCCAGTCTGTGGGTATCTGGGAGGTGGTGGGCAGGAGGCACGGGGGTCTGAAGAGAAGGAGGGTCTTAGTAGAGGTTGTGGGGTATGGTGTGTCTAGGGTGCTGCTTTTCCCCCTTGAGGGGGGCCTAGGGTTGCAGGTTAGCACATTGTGGCTGTGGCCTGCAAGTTCCATGTGTTCCCTGGGCCCAGAATGCTGCTCTCTGTCCCTGCAGCCCACTGAAGAAGATGCCAGCTTGGACCCTTTAGTGTTTCCAACTGCTGAGTGGACTCGAAGTCCAGGTTTGCTTGAAATCAGTTACTGCTGGTTCAACTCCTCCCACGTGATTAGGCTCAGTGTCCTTAAATACAGGCCAAATTCTCCCAACCAGGAAGAGAGGGTCTTGAGGAGAAAGTGAACAAGCTTGGTTTACACCAAGTCAGTTAACTCAGTCACCAAAAATGTGCTGATTTTCCTGGTTGGATGATGCATTTTTATTGCTTACTTCTTCTTCTTTTTTTTTTTTTTTTTTTTTTTAATAGCGTTTATTTAATTTTGAGAGACAGAGAGAGACAGAGTGTGAGCAGGGGAGGGGCAGAGAGAGGGAAACAGAATCCAAAGCAGGTTCCAGGCTCTGAGTTGTCAGCACAGAGTCTGACATGGGGATCCAACCCATGGATTGAAAGTTCATGACCTGAGCTGAAGTAGGATGTTCAACCAACTGAGCCACCCAGGCTCAGTTGTCTTGAAGAGAAATATCAGTTAGTGCCAGGATTAAGTTTGGTTCTATCTCCCTGGCCCTCAACCTGCTACCAGTTGACCTCAGCTCACCTTGTTCTCTCTTCTTTTTAACAGGGGTTTTAGAATATATGATACATCTGAGAAAGCAAAGTGGCTACTACTCTTCTTATACATTTTCCTGTAGCTTTAAAAAATATGTTATTTGTTTGAGGCAACCCTTGGTTTTGGCTTCTTGTGTGTTCTTACACAAATAATCTACAATTAATTAGGCACATATAATTTGTTTATTTTTACACAAATGGTAATTTACACATTATACTGAGTCTAGCACGGTACATCTTAGAGATAATATCTTTATCAGTAGATAAAAGACTTCCTTTTTCTTTTATTTTATATAAGTGCATAATATTCCACTGTGTGGATGTACCACACTTTATTTAAGTTCTTATGGGTGGGAATTTTGTTGGATTGGAAACAGTGCAGTCCTTCCCGGAAGAAGCAGTATCCCGGCCAGGAGTCCTTAGTGTCTGCCTGGCCTCTGACATGTGGGAAGAATAGGAAAAGAGGGAGTAGAGGTAGACTGAGAGCCAGCGGAATGGGAGGACATTGGCCTGGTACAGTAGCTAGCTTCTTTCCATTGGTCTCCTGGCACGGAGCCCCTGAGCTGGGCAGCTGGTCCCTAGAGAACTATGAGTCCATGAGACATAGGCTGACCTTGCAGATCACCTTGGCCCCCAGTAGGCCTGCTGTTGTCATGGGGCCTGCAGTGTCTATAAGTTGGCTTGTGACTGCTGGTTCACTGGGATCCCAAGTACCCTTTCTAGCCATGGCCTTGCCATGCTGAGTCCGTTGGCTCTGCAGAGTGTTTGGCTTTGTCATTGGCAGGGACATATTTTTGTCTAAGGTTCTCAGGTGTTTGTGTCTGCTCACCTATTCCTGCTACTCTCAGAAGCCATCCATTGGAAGGTGTAAAATGGAATTAACACACTCTGTGGGGACATTTGGAATCAGGAAAATAGAAGCTTCTTTCTTAACCAAAGCGAGGAGCAGCATTTAGTGAAAGTATAAAAACATGCACAGGAAAGATATATACCAACTTCCTTCCTCTGAGGCTGGAGTGGGGTGGAGGAGCAGGAAGGGTAGAGTTTTAGCTGTATCTATGATGATTTATTTATTCACATATATAAGAGATCTGGAACAGTAATGAAAAACATTAAAAGTTTTAGCTCTGGAAGGTAGACACATGAGCGTCTGTCATATTATCTTCAGTGCTGTCTTTACGCTTAAAATATTTTAAAACTAAAAATGATTTAAAAAATTTTAATGTTTATTTATTTATTTTGAGAGAGAGCAAGAGAGAGTGAGTCGGGGAGGGGCAGAGAGGGAGAGAGAGAGAGAGAGAGAGAGAAAGAAAGAGAGAGAATTCCAAGCAGGCTCTGCATTGTCAGCACAGAGCCCAATGTGGGGCTTAAACTCATGAGACCATGACCTGAGCCGACATCAAGAGTCAGATGTTTAATTGACTGAGCCACCCAGGTGCCCCAAAACTAAAATGATTTTTAATTAAAGCAGAGAGGAAACTTCCAGGAACAACCCCTACCCCCCACCCCGGCCCCTGTGCTCCACCAGCATCTCGTACCTCCCTCTACTGTGCCACTTACCTCCTGTTATGACTGTCTGTTTAGCTGGTTGTCTCCCCAGACCTGTTCGGGTTTCTGCTGCACACATCCTTGCCAGATGCACAGAGGTTAATGAGCCCACGGGAAGGTGGGGGTTTATCTCTTCCGTCTTTGAGTACGAGGCAGCTCTGGAAAAGCAGAACATGCTTGGACTTCGGGACCCAGTCAGATCAGAATCTGAAGTTTGACTTTGTATCTTCTGGAGAGTGATTTATCTTCTCTGGGTCGTGGTTTCCCCATTAATAAAATGGGTTGCCGTAAGGACCAAAATGAAATCTAACACTTGTCAACAAGCACTTGTTGCCTGGGTGAACTGAGTGATTAACAGACTTCTCAGAAGCCAAAGCAAAGCAGCAGAATGAGCGTGCAGAGTTTTTATTTTTCCCTCTGAAGGACCCATGTATTTTCTCACATGAAAGCGATGCTATGCACCCCCATCAGACATACGTTCCCGGCCTTGCCTCTTCATGTTCAGGGTGCAACAACGGGCTTGTGGTTTAATCAGCAGGACCTGGGGCCAGCCTTGGGGGTGCAGGCCATAGTACCTGCCTCTTTCCTAGTCTCTGGCAGCCCTAACTCTCCTCCTGTGTCAGGGGTTCCCATACCACCCCTGAGCTAAGTGACTCACTAGGAGGACATCTAGGACCCAGCGCACATTTGTACTCGGGCCTAGGATTTATTAGAGCAAATGGATGCAGAGTGAAATCAGCACCAGGAAAAGGTACAGGGGGTGGAGTATGGAGGAAGCCAGACTCCTCTCCCCATGGAGTCACCAGAACATACTTAATTCCATCGGCATTGATTTATGACAAGTTTGAAGTGTCATCTACTATGGAAGCTCATTAGAGACTCTGAGCCCAAGGTTAATAAAAACCTTGTTTCCCAGACTCCTGGAGGAAATCAGGTGTTTGACAGAAACTAACATAAACTGTACAGTTTAGGCTGGGGGAGCTGCTCAGATGAGTCAGCAAGTGGTAGGAATGCCCCTGAAACCCAAGTTCCCAGCCACGAGCCGAAAGCCAACTTTGCAGTAGGTTTTGCTAAGGACAGTGGTCTCAGGTCTGCTATGTGGACTCTTCTCTGCACACCCCCTTCTGCAGATCACTGTGGAGGACTATGAGCAGGCTGCCAAGAGCCTAGCCAAGGCCCTGATGATACGGGAGAAGTATGCCAGACTTGCCTACCATCGCTTCCCGCGAACCACGGCCCGGTACCTGGGCCATCGGAGGGTAGACATTGTGCCGCTGGAAGAGGGCCTCCCAGGTGGGTGCATGTGGGTCCCAAGTGGGGCACTGCCCAAGAATTGGTCAGGACTTTGTACTGGCTGGATGTATTTCTCCCAGGTGGTGTTTTAAGGGCAAGGCCCTGGCATTGGCTTCCTACACCCACGATTGTTGGTCTCCCCAATGTCTGATTCTGTATGTACTGTGTGCCCGACTCTGGGCAGAGCTGAGCAATAGAAGTTAAGAGAGAGACGAAAGATAGCCCCCGAGCTAGAGACTCCTCCAGGGACATAGGCCATCTCATCCTGGATATTTAAAACACTACCACCAGACAGTAAATGTTGAGTCGCTGGTGGGGTGGGGTGGGGATAGATGCAAAGTGCATGTTCTGGGGGCAGGGAAAGTAGGCTTTGAAGTCAAACACCCCTACATTCTGGTCTCAGCTCCACCACGTTCTTGGGCAAGGTATTTCACCAGACCTCCGTTTCTCAGTCTGTAAAATGGGAATAATACCTATGCCTTGGGCCTGTTCTGCAGAGTCTGGGGAAGAGGAGGTCAGAGACGGCAGGATGGTTTCTGGTGGAATCTGGCCTGTGAAGGACATAGGAGCAGTAAAGGCTGTGAGTTAGGTAATGTGAAGGTGGTGGGGGGGGATCAGATGAGGGTCTGGTGGTCTGTGCTAGAACCCACAGGCCTGGCTGCCCACTGGGTGTAACTGTTGTCAACAGGTCTCCTCCTGACTGAGTTTCCCTTGAAGCTCTGAGACCTGGACTTTGAGCATCTGCTGCCACCTGGGACCCTGGGTATATCTTAACCCTATGGGGCCCATTTCCCTATCTGTCTGAGGCAAGTTGATGCCATCTGCCCCAGTTTTGGCAAGGGCAGACAGGAATGACTGTCAGATGTGTACTTTATACAAAGCAGAGTCCCCAGGGGGCTGGGCATAAGCATGGTGAGACAGGCTGTGGCTTCTTGGAGGCGTTGGTCCTGCCTGCATCTCACAGGCCCCTGGCACATTTTAGGGACTCCTGAGCTAGCCTGGGGCTGTGCTGCTTCAGCCCCTGTGACGCCTCACTCCGGTTCTGGGACAGTCTGTTCTGAGCACTGAGTGGGGGACACGGATTTGGGACACTGCCTTGGTTGTTTTCTTTGATGAAGATTCCAGGGATTGCCCCTGGCTCTCGCTGGCAGCTGTGCAGATGGGCTCTATGTGAGTTGGTTGATCTGTAGAGTTGAAGCCTCCCGCTCTCCTGCTGAACTCATCCCCTGGCCAGAGACGGAACTTATCAAGAGTCAGGAATACTCATTACAAGAACAATGAGAATAATGTCCTCTGATTTATGGGTCAGGCATTACTGTTTTAAAGCATTTCTCATACCCACGTTTGCAGCCTTCGCAACAGCCAGTTAAGGCAGCTGTGTTATTCTCAGATAACCAGAAAGGATTAGAGAGGCAAAGTGGTTTGTTCAGTCTCATAGCTGGGAAATAGCCAAGAGGCATTTTCTGCCTCCTGTGGGTTAACAGCTGTGGGGACAGATAGGTCTGTTGTTGACATTCTCTGCCCTGTGGGGAGATAAGCTGCCTATTCTGTGCTCATTTTGGGGAGAACGATGGCTTTTCCATGTAGCTTTTTGGGCTGCCCGGGGCTCAGGAAGATGTGGGAGGACAGGGATGATTATTCCCACTGGGCAGTCCCAGGTGCTGCCTGTTCTTTTATTAGGAGAAGACATAGCTGCCCTTTTTAATGTGCCTGGCATTGCTGTCATGCCCAGGAGGCTGGAATTCATTTCAGTTAAATTAAAAATATTTACTGAAGTGCCAACCATGTACCAGGGACTGTTATAAGAAATGGGGATACAGTGAAACAAACCAAACATATACTACCCAAGATAAGTAAGTGAAATTTACATAGTGGTAAATGCTAACGAGACAAAACAAAGCAGGGAGGGAGATATGTGATGTCAGGGCAGGTGGGAGTGGGTGGGGTGGTTGGGTTTTAGAGAAGATGATGGGGGTGTCCCAGAAGACTGAGGAATGTGACTTTTGAGCTCCTGTGAGCTCAAGAGGTCCAGGGCACTTGGCCATCACTCAGTCCTGTTTTGCAGACTTCCACCCTCCCCCCCAGCCCCAGGAAGACCCTTACTGTCTGGATGATGCTCCCCCCAACCTGGGCTACCTGGTCCGCATGCAGGGGGGCATCCTCTTCGTGTATGATAATGAGGAGATGCTGGAGCGCCAGGAGCCCCACAGCCTGCCCTACCCTGACCTGGAGACCTACACGGTGGACATGAGCCACATCTTGGCTCTCATCACGGATGGCCCCACGTAAGCCAGTCTTCTCCGAGTCTGCCTCTCTTTGCATGGGGGCTGTTCTGTAGAAAGGGGCTGGGAAAGGCCAGGTCACCCTTTTACTCTGGACTTTCCCACACTTAAATCATACCAGAAAGAAGGTACTTGCCCCCTTCCCCGGGGTTTGTGGGTTCTTGCAATGATTTTCCATTATAGGCTGGTGTGTTCTTAGAGTTGGTACTAGCTGTCTCTTCTGCATCCAGATGTGGAACTTCTGTTTGCTGGTGACCACCTGTGTACCTCAGAGTGGCTGCTTCCCTCTCCCCAGGCAGGGCAGCGGCCTTGTGGAGATAGAGCCACCAGGGCATTACTACAGATGGTAACAGAGAGGTGAAGGCTGTTGCTTCAGGCATTGGGTTTCCCATGTTTCTGGAGGGGAGAGTGCAGGGAGCCTGGGAACTTGGTGCCACGCCCCCCAGGATGCTCATGGGCTTGGCTGAGCTAACCTGTCAGGCGGTCAGTTGTCTCTCTGCATTTGGCCCCTCACTCCTCAGTGAGCACTGCAGCCTGTCAGCAGAGGAGGGCTGGCCTCTGAACCCTCAAGTGGCTGTGCTGTGAGTGTCCAGCCAGGACTGAGAAGCTAGGGGAGGGAAAGGGTGCTGGCCACTGCCGAGGGACCTCTCTTGCCCTGCCTTTAGTTTTTGCTGGGAATGGTGTGATGCCAGTTTCCAAGAGAGGGAGCAGGCCCCTGGGGAGTGGGCAGAGTGGGTCTCTGTCCTCACTGAGGACAGAGCTAAGACCTGGGAGGGGAAAAGGCAGTTCTCAGCAGGCTGACCTCTGCCATGTGAGGAGGAGCTTGGAGGGGAGGCCTTGGGAAAGAGGGTAGGGGGAGAGCCCTGGCTGTTCCAGGAGGTATGTAAACAGGGACTGTCCTGTCCAGGAGGCTGTCCAGGCGAGACCTGCTGGGGGAGACACTGAGTGAGATAGCCTTTGAAATCCCTGTGACTCAGACTCTTCAGGCATCCTTTGTGCTCCGCTCTGGGGCTTGCCTTAGTCAACATGATGGTGACGTTCCAGGGTCGGCAGCTGGTCCTTAAGAAAGTCCGAGTGATTGCTTGCCACGGGAACTGCTGTTTATTTGGGGGCCACAAGGAAGCAGGGTGGCGTGACTTGTGGTTGAAGGTTCTGTGTGGCTTGGGCACAGGCATGTGGCCAGACCCCTGGGTTGGTTGTGGGCTGGCAGTAGGCCAGGAACAGTGAGTGTTCCCACCCCTGGTGGCCTTTGCCTGCTGGTGAGAGCATCAGTCACTGCAGAGATTTCTGTCCTACTAAACATCCTTGCATTCCTAATCTGCCCATGGTACAAAACATCCTCTGCTAGTCCTGAGACCTTAGAGTTGAAGGGTCTTCAGGTCTTGGGGTTTGGGGAATGTCATTAGATCACAGGATGCTTCCTCTCCATGTTTCCTCACCTTATAGTTTGACTGTATTCCTGATCTTCTGGGGAGACTCTTTTTAAAGAATTGAAGGTGGCTGGGGATCAGTGGGAAGACAAGGAAGGAAGGGATGAGGAGGGAGACTTTCATTGAGAATCCACTCTGCTCAGAGTTAGGCCCTTCACATGCATAAGCCCATTTAACCCCCACTTCAGTCTTGGGCATTGCCATCTCTGTATTGGCTCATAGGAAACAGAGGCTTGGCATGAATCGCCTAAGTACATAAAGCTAGAACTCAGAGAACCTGTGTGTGTTTGCAAAGTCAGCTTTGCACTGCCCCAAATGGACTCTGCTCATTTCGTGGAATGCATGGAGGTAGTTCTACAGGTCAGCCGGGTCTGCAGAAAGCTGGGACCACCACATTCCTCCCTGCTGCATCCTGACCTTGCACATGAGGGCTGGTCCCCACAGCCACTGGAGGTCTTCAAACTGAACACCTCAACACCACTTCTCCTCAACTGTGGTTTCTCCCCACTTGCAGGAAAACATACTGTCACCGGCGACTGAACTTTCTGGAATCCAAGTTCAGCCTTCATGAGATGTTAAATGAAATGTCTGAGTTCAAAGAGTTGAAGAGCAACCCTCACCGAGACTTCTATAATGTGAGAAAGGTATGTCAGTGGGCCACTTTTGAGAGCCACCCTTCCCACTCCCCTTCCTAACCCACTGGGATGCCCTGGGTGAGTCTGGGACTGGTCCCCTGTGTGGCCTTCCTTGGCCAGAGGATTGTGATGTGTACATGCAGAGGGAAGACTGGTGAATTGCCTTCCTTCTTTCAGGCCATGCCTCAGACGGTACTGTGTAAGACTCTAGGTGGAAACCTCGGTCCATGTCATGTATCTGTTGGAATGTGCCCTCTTCCTCAGAAAATGGGGTATGGTCTATTGGTTAAATGTCCTAAGACTTGAGGTCAGGCTACTTTTATGGTAGAGGATGTATTACATTCATCATGGAGAGAAAAGGCTGTTATGACCTCTTTGGGCTTGGGAGTTTGTGGTTTTGCATTCTTCTGGATCAGTATATTTAAGGAAAAGATCCGATGTGCTCCTGTCTCTGCCACTCCCCTAGGGTAGACGGGCAGGCTTAGCCTAGGCTCAGGGGCCCGCGGCCTGTAGGGGCTGCCGCTGGGGCAGATGGGTATGTTAAATGATCATGGATTCCAGCTTTTCCACTTTCTTCCATTCACGAATATCAGTGCTAAGCATGAGGTGTTTGACGTTGAACAGGAGTCACTGCCCGTCCCCAAGAATTTCCTAGCCCAGTCCTCTCGGTGTGATGTTGTGGCAGAGGTGGCTTTCAGGAAGTGGCCAGAACTGAAGAGTTCACTTAAAGAGTGAGTCGGAGTCAGCCTGGAGGGGGTGGGGTGGGGGGCAAAGGAATGAAAGGGATGGTGTTCCAGGCAGAGGACACAGCATATGCAAAGACCAAGAGGGGAGGGTGCAATGAGAGGAAGGACTATGTATGCAGCATGATAGCAGGTGGTGTAGTGTGACAGGAGCTCAGGTGCTGGGGGAGAGCACGGTGCTGGGCTGTGGGGAGAGTGAGGTGGCAGAGGTGTGTAAGTTTCTGGACCAAGTGGGGCCCCTGACATTCTCAGAGGAAGCAGGGAGAGGGGAGGGGGGATGGTAGTATTCTGGGAGAGGAGCTCATGGGGGAAGGGTGGGGATTAGGCTTTGCCTCATGGCCAAACCTGAGCTGAGTCACAGTGGGGTCCTCATCTCCACAGGGGCCTCTGTCCTAGATGTGACCGCTTGAGGACTGCCCCCCCCCCCCCTGGGGTCAGCTGCCTTGGCCTGGGGTGCAGGGAGGATGTGGCTCCTCTGTGGAGCCCAGGCCTCCCTGACCTGACTGGGAACACTCAGCTGTGATGGATGGAAGGCCTCTTCCAGGGAGGCCCCAAGGTCGCTTCCGTTAAGCATCTTGTGGTCTGGCATGGACTCCCCTTGGTTGGGACCCAGAGCCTTGAGAATGAGAAGTAACTTCAGCTCATGGGCTGTGAGGTTTATGGAAGTTGTCTCAGGGGTTCCAGATAGAGGTGAGAGCATGTGTTAGAAATCACCTGCCTGGCACCCTGACCTTTGAGCACTGTTTGCTACTTCTCTAAGAGCCTCAGGTGTTCAGACAGGTGGATGTTTCGAGCACCACGCCAGGCCCTCTTAACCCTGCCTGAATGCATTACATGTGCCCAGATGGGTGTCTGAGGAAGCTCCTTGCCCAGCCCACTGCAGCCCTCCCTTCCACATGAGTGCTCTGGGCGTGACCACTTCCTGCTGCCTGGGGCTAAGGTGTCCTTGCTGACTGTACTGGCTTGGACACTGTTTGCTTTGGAGGTGGGGTCCCAATGGGTGTTCCTGGGCCAAACAACTGCTCTCTGGCTGTGATGCGGAAGAGGGTCCTTGTGGGGGCAGTGGTTACCTAACCCTAGCGGTTCTCTGTCAGTCTGAGGGTTAATGTGCTCTCCAGATAGAGATGGCCTTGACACCTGTGCTGTGACGCAGTGGCCTGTTCTCTGGCACCACAGCAATGCATAAACACGGGCCCAGATCTGCTCCAAGTCAGGCCTCCTGAGTGCTGGCTTCTCTATCTTACGTTGGAAGATGCTTTTGTGGAAGGAAAACTGGCTTTTCTAAAACCCCAGATGGCCTGGGAGGGTGGCCTCCATATTTCCAAGGTAGCTATCAGTGCTACGAGGGCAGGCCAGGGCTGTGCTCTGGGGCAGAAGCTGTGCGTGGCCATGGGTCTGTGTGTTTGTGAAAGTACCTCGGCATCACAACGGGTCATGTGTCATGACACCACAGGGCCCAGCCAGCAGGACTGTATAACTGAGACATTTGTTGTTTGCTCAGAGTTAAGAACCTGGGCTGAGTGTGTTTACTGCTTAAGAGTTGGGTAAGATTAGTCCTCAGTCCACTTTGGTTTACGAGGCATATCAGGCATAGCAAATAGGCTTCATCTTCTGTGCCAGACCTGACCATTTGGGAGTGGCTACTCCCAAAGCTTAGTGGAAATGCTGCAATTGATTAGTGATGTCTGACATGCAGGTGGAAATGGCCAGTGTGGGCCAACCCTGTGTCTCTACTGTTTGCCTACACCTGGATCTTAGGTCAAAGCAAGGAACGTCCTGGTGTCTCCTGGTAAATTGAAAACACTGACATCCAATGACAGGCTCTTTTACTTGTTCCTAAAATAATCGCCTTGGATATTCTGAAGTTTGGATTGGATGTTTCCTGGATTGTCCAGTTGTTTTCTTCCTTCATCTTGTGACTCGTGGGAGTAAGGACAGACTGCACCCCCTGCAGTGTGTCATTGGTATGCTAGAGGACACAAGCAGAAAGCCCAGAATGTGCTCTGTCATGCTGAGGTAGTGGAGTCCAGCTGCGTCCGACTGAGCTAAGCCAGGCTGACCTCTTGTGTGTCCCACATGAGGCCAGCCTGTTCCTGAGGTGACTGAGCCTTTACAGTGTGCTTTGAGCAATGTTTTAGCTTTTGGTGTTTTGAACTGCTTAATTTCTCTGATGTCTAGTGGTCTTTCTGATTGGAAGTGGCAAGATTAATGGCAAGAAGGGCTGGGATGAGTCAGTGATGCTGTCAGTGACATGGGCTGGCTCAGATAATGTTCACAGAAATTCAACAGATCAAATGTCTAGTTTGGCATGACTTGGAGATGAGTGGCCAGCTGTGGATAGCATTCCCTGGCCAGAGGTCAGCCGCCTCCTCATCCCAGCCCTGGCAGAGTACCCAGTCAGCTACATCAGTAACTGCAGAGCCTATGAGGCTGCTGCTTCTCTCCCTGGGGACCTCCCTGAGGCCTGTTGGACTCGTGCAAAGGGCATCAGGATGCCCACTCTGACTTCAGGCCATCCTTCAGATTAGCCAGGTCTCTGTTTCCTCAGGGTTGGTGGCTGACAGGAATATTCCAAGAGAGGTCAGTGGGAAGAATGGTGCCTTGTGGGGCATTTGGTGGGCTTTAGGGTTATATGAAGATGTGAATATCATCAAGTGTTCACCCATCCATCCATTGATTCAACAAATACATCATATTAGGCTCTGGGGTGGGTGCTGAAGACTTAGGTGCATAAGATGAGGTCTCTGTCCTTGAGGACTGTGTTTCCAGTCTAGTAACAGAGTAGATAGGAAATTTATAGAGTGATGGCAAGGACATGTACAATAATGGGAGTGTTCATGTTAGCTTTCCCAGCTGGGCAAGGGAACAACTGGTCAGTGTGCTGAGGGGGTCAGGATTGGCTTCTAAGGAGGAGGAGGTGGTTAGAAATCCCCTGTAGGTGGATGAGATTGGTGAGGAGGAAGGAAGGCATGCCAGGCAGAGGAGACACATGGGCAAAGCGACATGGTGCAGAATAGCACAGTCTCTTAGGTACCTGTAAGTGGTACGTCATGGCTGAAGCATAGAGGCAGTTGCAAGGTGGGAATTAAGGGTGGAAATAAGCCTTGAATCCCAGGCTTTGAGTTTGAGCTTTATCTTGAAAACGTGGGGGCCATTGATGGTTTGTTAGCTGGGGAATGGCCGGACAAAATCTACATTTAAAAAGATCTCTTGATGCTATAATGAGGTGAATTGGGCAGCAAAACTAGAGGGAGGACCAGTTTCAAAGCCTAGAGGAGAAACTGGGGGGAGGGGTATAGATTCAGGCATCAGTGGGGCTATGGGGGCTGAGGTTTTGCAGTCCACTTTGAGGGTTGGACACCCCAATTCTTGTGGCGGTGGGAGATGGCCTGGCTCATGACTGGTGGGCACCACGTTGCAGGTGGACACACACATCCACGCAGCCGCCTGCATGAACCAGAAGCACTTGCTGCGGTTCATCAAGCATACGTACAAGACGGAGCCCGACAGGACCGTGGCTGAGAAGCGGGGCCGGAAGATCACCCTGCGGCAGGTGTTTGACAGCCTGCACATGGATCCGTATGACCTCACTGTCGATTCACTGGATGTCCATGCGGTGAGTGAGCTTCTGCCCTAGTGCCTCGAGCCATCCTAGGTGGGGACTCAGCCTGCTGGGAGGAAGCCATGGTTGTGCCTGGAGAGAGGCTGGCTGCATAAGCAGCTTATCTTCTAGCCATGGAGATGTGAGAGGTATTTGACCTCAGGGAATATAGTAGGGCCATAGGGTCGGAGGAAAGAGCGTGTGACTTGGAGTCAGACAGGTCCCTGTTCTAATTCTCTTTCTGCCAGTTAGGAGTTGTGTGCCCTTAAGCAGTTCACATAAGCTTTCATTTCCTTGCTTATGAAATGGTGAATGCCATGTGCCTTGTTGATGTTACAATGTTATTAAAATTCTAAATGATGGTGCAGCTGCTACAGAAGACAGTATGGAGTTTTCTCAAAAAGTTAAATATGGAATTACTATATATTCCGGCAATTCCACTCCTAGGAATATATGCAAAAGAATTGAAAGCAGGGACTAAAACAGATACTTGCACCCCAAAGCTTATAGCAGCACTATTCACCACAACCAAAAGGTAGAAATGACCCAAGTGTCCATCAACAGATGAATGGATAAACAAGATGTGGTTGATATACACAGTGGAATGTTCTGCAGTCCTAAAAAGGAATGACATACTGATACCTGATACAACATGGTGAACCTTGAAAACATGCTAAGTCAGAAAAGCCAGACACAAAAGGACAGTTGGTGTATGATTTACTTGTATGTGAAATAGGCAAATTCATAGAGACAGAGACAGGTGGTAATCAGGGGCAGCCAGAAAGAAAGGGTCATGAGGAGTTATTATTTAATGGGTACAGAGTTTTAGTTTTACAAGATAGAGAGTTGAACTGCACATTTAAAACCACTTAAGGTGATACATTTTGTGTTATGTGTATTTTACCACAATAAAAAATCTTAGTAAAACAAATAAAACACTGAATGAAGTCATGTGGAGAAAGTGCCTGATGGAGTCAAAGGAGTAATAGACACCCTTTATTACTGATTGTTTGGTAGTCTGGTGTTTTCTGCTCACTCAGCCAGCTATGCTCCTAGCCATGGTACGTGGGAGCACGAGACACACCTTGATCCTTCACAGAGGGCCTCCATAAAGGACCCCTGGGCTGATGGAGTTAGGAGATGCATCTTGACCCCATTACTTTCCAAAATTTCATGCCAGAGCTGACACAGAAGACATCTGTCAGCATGGCTGCACATAAGGCCCCCTTGTAAAGGCCTGGAGAGGGAAATGTGTATGATGGCTACAGAGCAATGTAGTGATCTGCCTGGTGGTCTCCTTTCTCCAGGGCCGGCAGACATTCCATCGCTTTGACAAGTTCAACTCCAAATACAACCCTGTGGGGGCCAGTGAGCTGCGCGACCTATATTTGAAAACTGAAAACTACCTGGGAGGAGAGTACTTTGCTCGGATGGTCAAGGCGAGTGAGCCCTGGGCCTCTCTAAGCCTTCCTTAGATACCTGACAACTTCTACCTGCAGAGGGTGGGGCATGGCATAGCCTCCTATTTTCCCCTCCCCAAATCCCCATCGATCCACCATCCAGCTCAGGCAAGGCTCAGGTGCCCAGGAGCCCTGTGCTGTGGTCTGCCCAGGTGGTCAGCTCCCGAGCATGGGCAGGCTGGTGCTGCAGGTGCTGACTGCAGGCCAGAGGAAGGGAGGGTAGCCACCAGTGCTCACAGCAGCCAGGCTCACTGCCCTGTCTGCAGTCTGAATTTGGGGCAGGTTAGCTCTGTTTGGAGGTTCTTCTGCTGCCCTGGCCTGGTTAGGCACGTGACCATGCCGACCATGGCCTTCCCCTCCTCCAGGAAGGAGCCTCTATTGAGGTGGAGGAGTAGTTATGTGCCAGCAAGAGGATATAGATCAAGCCTTCCCAGCCTGGGAGCAGGTGGTGAGGGAGCTGCAGGATCCAGCAGCTGGGGTGCTTTTGGGCTGACCTGAGCTCTTCTTGGTGCTAGGAGGTGGCCAGGGAGCTGGAGGAGAGCAAGTACCAGTACTCAGAGCCACGGCTGTCCATCTATGGCCGCAATCCCAAGGAGTGGCCCAAACTGGCACGCTGGTTCATCCAGCACAAGGTCTACTCACCCAACATGCGCTGGATCATCCAGGTGCCCCGGATCTAGTAAGTGAGGTGGCCCACTGTCTGCCCATGCCCTCTGGCGACACAGCCTGTCTCTCATGGGCTGCTGAGTCTGCACTTTCACTGGTGGGGCTGGTTCTGGTGCCAGCTTGGGCCTCTCCTCCCTAGAGATTTTCCCATAGCGAGGGGGTGGTTGGCAAACTTGTCCTTACGACACTTAAACTCAGTTTTTGAAGAACGAGCCTGTGCAAGTCTAGCAGAAACTACTACCCTCTTCTTAATGGGGTTTGAGGGTGGATTATCCTTTTGTATGAGCCCCTGGGTATGAGTAAGGTGGTGGTGGCCTACCTTGCTGGCCCTGGATTTCTATGGCTAGGACTCAGACGACCAATGTACTCTCCCATCTGGCCAATGTGGCCAGGGGCTCATGGTCCCTGCTTGGCCTGAATATGTGGTTTAAGGGAACTCAACTGAGTGGAGGAGAAATTTGAGAGCTGAGAAATTTGAGAAGTCATCTCTCAGACCTTTGGTCAGCCCAAGTCCTAATCCCCCACTCCAGCATGGCCTCTAGCTTGGAAAAGCTCTCTGATGAGTGTGGGTGGGCGTTGACCAATGCCTAGCATTGCAGAACTTGCTGGGAGTTGGAGAGGAGGGGAAGGACCTATGTTTAAGCCACACTCTGACTTCGACTCTACTCTGGGTATTCAGATGGAAACACAAGCGTCCTGGGGAAGCGATGGGGCTGCTCTCCCACAGGCCAAAGGGGCTGCTTGGTTCACTTTAATCAGCAAGTGTCTGCTTTCCACCAGTGACATTTTTAGGTCAAAGAAGCTGCTGCCAAGTTTTGGGAAGATGCTGGAGAACATCTTCCTGCCCCTTTTTGAGGCCACAATCAACCCCCAGGATCACCGAGAGCTTCATCTTTTCCTCAAATATGTAAGTGTGGAAGTTGCTGCAGGCGATGCGCACAGTGGTGGAGGGAAGAGATTACAAGTGGGTTGGGTCAGGCTTCCCTTCTCAGATCCTGTCACTATGTGCCCCAGGCAGGGGTGGCTAGTCCCAAGAAACTGAATTTCCAAAATAATTAAGTTTGCTCTAGGTAGGGGAAGTCCCCTTTTCCTCAGGGGCAGCCTTGGGGTGTGGGTGGTGTTCTAAGAAGACAGCTGGAGAGAAAAACTGAGGAGTCAGTTCCTGGCTGGGTGGGGCTGGAAAGACTGGATCTTGTCCCCAGAAGTACCCAGCAGCAACCCCAGGTCTTTAGAAATGCAGACACGGGGCGCCTGGGTGGCTCAGTCGGTTGGGCGTCTGACTTCGGCTCAGGTCACACGATCTCACGGTTCGTGGGTTTGAGCCCCGCATCGGGCTCTGTGCTGACAGCTGGGTCAGAGCCTGGAGCCTGTTTCAGATTCTGTGTCTCCCTCTTTCTGGCACCACCCTACTCACACTCTCTCTCTCAAAAATAAATAAAAAACATTTAGAAATGCAGACACATCAGTGCTCTTGCTTTTACCTCAAAACAATGGTCCTCAAGTCTTGTCTGGCTGAGTACACAAGACTGACAACATATATTTTATCCAGCTTGTTATGGGAGAGGGGAAGAAGGGATGGAGGTGAAGTTAACCAGAAAGGGTATAAGTGGGGCAGGACCTGATCCCTCTCTCTGGGTTCCCAGAATAGAGGTGGCTGTAGACAGTGAGAAGCAAGTTCAGTACCCATGGAGGTTCTGGGGGTCTGACAGGGAGGTAGGCAGGGAAGGTTCCAAATAGCTGGGGGCTTGGGGAAGGGGTGATTGGGTCTGTGTGTGTGTGTGTGTGTGTGTGTGTGTGTGTGTGTGTGTAGGGGGCTGCTAGGAAATGTTTGAACAGGCTGAAGAACATCATTGAATTTATGTTTTAGACAAGCACCATTGGCTGTTGTATGGAGAAAGGCCAGAAAGGATGGTAGCTAAAGGTGGGGGGAAAGGGGAAAGATGAGAGTCAGGGGGTCTGCTCCAGCAGTGGGACAGATGCTGGGGGCTTGCCCAGCAGAACAGTTCACAGTTACTGAGGGTTTGCTGCCTGCCCAGTGAGCCACACCATGACATGATTTTGCTTCAACCTCATGATTACCCTACTCCACGTCATTTTGTTGGTGTTGATACTGGGCAGAATTATTACATGCTTGCTGTGTGAAGCACTGTTAAGTGCTTCCATGGATTGTCTCATTCAGTTCAGCCCAGTGAAGCTACTTGCTCCAATTTACACACGAGGAAGTCACGAGGCTCAGAAGTGGTAGAACTGGAATTCATATCTAGGTGTCTGGTTCCCGAGCAGGTGTTATTACCCTCATGCTGTAGTGCCTCCCAAGTAGGAAAAGTGAGGCATATGCAGATGGCAGGCCAGGGCCTGTGGTGGGCATGGCTGCAGCATCGATGGGGCCTGGGCAAAGCCTGATGAGTCCGAGGGAAGAGTCTAGGGTACCTCCCCAGTGCCTGGCTTTGTGGGAGAGTGGACCTGTGCCTTCACAGGTCACAGCACAAGTGGAGGAAGAGCATGCTTGGGGGGGAGAAGGAGTTGGGGGCTGGGCATATTTTGTGCTTGAGGCCCTCCATCTGTTGAACACACAGCTGAGAAGAGGGACTGATGTTCCTTCCATGCCAGGCCCTGGAGAGTTCAGGTAAGGCACAGGGCTAGTGAGTACAGAGCAGGGCTTAAGGGCCTCCCTGACCCCCAAACCCATCCAGGCTGTGCTGAGAGCTGTGGTGGCAGCCCTGTCATTGCTTTTGACACGTGTTTCTGTGACAGGGAAGATTTTGCGAAGACCTTCATGGTCCCTTGCTCCTCTGGGCACCTACTGCCCATATGGGAATGGTTGAGGCTGGCAGACTTAACCAGGACTCCCCACTTTGGGCCAGTTGTGGAGTGAGGTGGAGTCATTCAGAAGCTCTTTCCCAAGTGCTGCTGCAGCTGAGTAAAAGTGGGAGAGACACGTTAGCAGAAGTGCTCCTTTGTGCTGGCCGAGAGGCTGTATCTTTTGTAGGTACATGTTTGGTCAGGGGCTGGGACGAGGTGACCAGGAAGCCAGTGACCAGGGTGGTGCCCCCAGGGACAAAATTTGGGTCCCAGCTGAGGTGCAGCTGCTATGGGAAGACAGAAAGCTCAGAGGGAAGTTCCCAGGGAGGAGTCGGGGAGCAGAGAACCTCCCTCCTGAGAACCACAGTGCACCCTCCATGGGCCCCTCCTGGATGGGGCCCACCCTGGCCTGTTTGTGAGGCATTGAAGCTGGTTTCCTGTGGCCTCACCTGGTCCATCCCAGGGGCATCCTCCACTTACAGCCCCAGAGTCCAGAACCAGAGTCCATTTAGGTTCAGAGGCTGCTTGTGTGGGGTGGGCAAGCTCCCTAAGCATTTTGGGCCTGTTTGTTCATAGTCAAGCTCTCCTGCACAGGATGGCTCTGAGTGTTTATATTAGCTGATGAGTGGTACATGCATAGGGCCTGACATATAGTAGGCAGATAGGAAACGCCTGTCCCATGCCCCCTTACAGCTGTTGTCACTGCTGCTGATGGCAATTTCTGCTAGCTACCCTGCAGTGTTGGCCTCCTTCTTGGTGCAGCAGAGGGGTGGGTGGTGAGTATGGCTGGTCCAGTCTGAGTTTCCCCTCTTACCATCACCACTATCACACTAGGGCTTGGCACTCTCCAGTCTGGCCTCCTGGGTACTTTTAGAAGCCATGGAGGGACAGATTGTGGCATCGTCACCACTTCCCATATCTGGGAGGAATGTGGCCTCAGTTAGGCTGTGGGGTCCCCAGCTGAGGGATGAACCCGGGAGCCTTGGCCCCCAAGGCCTTCAGCAGCTCATCTGCCTCAGCCTGATGCAGGACCCCTCCTCCTGCCCAGGTGACAGGGTTTGACAGCGTGGATGATGAATCCAAGCACAGCGACCACATGTTCTCAGACAAGAGCCCCAACCCAGACATCTGGACCAGTGAGCAGAACCCGCCCTACAGCTACTACCTGTACTACATGTATGCCAACATCATGGTGCTCAACAACCTCCGCAGGTGGGTGAGCCCAGCTCCTGCACACACAGGTCTGTGTGCCCTCACACCTCATGCCCGGGGTCGTGCCCCAGTACACAACACAGGGCACAGTATTCACAGAGTCACACACACATGCAGGCCTGCCGTTATACCACAGACATGATCATTCAGCACAGACTTTATGCCTATACACACACGCGTATATACACATACCCACCAACAGCTATGTGTGTATCTGTCCATCCCTGATATGATACAGACATGGGATATGCCAATATACACACATGTTCTTTCTATCACACCAACAGTGTGCACATATGCATCTATTCATGCAACCAATTATTGTGTGACAGGCACTGTCCTAGGTACTGGACATCTAATAGAGAACAATGCAGACTAAATCCACACCTTTGCAGAGCTCACATCCACTATCTTACCTGCACAGGCTCCCACCAGTGCGCACGTACCCAGGGCATGTACGGCGGGAGTCAAGTGCCCAGAGCAGCTGACACTGAGCTCTTCAACCCCCCGCTTGCAAGTCTAGCCTGCCCCTGCTGGGCCATGGGGTCTTGCTAGCTCAGCCTAAGCTGGTGCAGCCTGTGGGTGTGGAGGCTTCAGATAGACCATGATTGAGAGGAGATGGCCTGGTGTTGGGTTGGGGCAGTCCAGGCTGAGCTGCTGGAGGGGCCTGAGTTCTAGCTCTAGCTGACCTGCTCAGGGATTATGAATGCCTGACTCTGCCCTCTCAGTTTGCCCATTTTTATGACAAAGCAGTTGGATTCCATAGTTTCACATGGCATCTGCTGCTCTGAAGGTCTGTGAATCCAGGCTACAAGGTCTGGTAAAGAGGGGAAAGGTCAGGAGTGGACGTGGACAGAGCAGGGTCTCTTTCTACCACTAGATCCCCTTTCTGTTCCCCAGAGATTGTATCTTTTGGTTCTGAAGATCACTGGACCTGGCTTTCTGTATTTTAGGGGGGTGGGGGGGGTAGTTTCCAGAGTGCCCTGTGTCAGCTGTGTTGACTCTGCAGTAGGTCCCGAGCTAGAGGTACATGCCCCAGGCCTGTGGGGCCCTGTGTACAGTGGGCCGGGGGTCCTTTCTGACCAAGAGCCTTACTTCTGCAGGGAACGAGGCCTGAGCACTTTCTTGTTCCGGCCTCACTGTGGGGAGGCTGGCTCCATCACCCACCTGGTGTCTGCTTTCCTGACTGCTGACAACATTTCCCATGGGCTGCTCCTCAAGAAGGTAACCAGGCTACTCAGGGAAGCCTGCCCTGCAATGATGGTCCTGCCATGGGCTCCCCTGGGGATGAGTGGGATTGCTTGGGCTCCTGTCTCCCTTCTGGGAGGCTCTGGCCAGTGATGTTAAAAAGCTGGTGCCTTTTTCTGGGTTGGGCTGTCTGTAGTCATCTTGGTTTCGTATTTATCATATTTAATTATGAAAAGAATATAATCAAACACCTCGAAATTTGGATCTTCCAAAAGATGGAGAAATGGGAAAAAATCACATTATTGCTATTGCTTTAAAAGAAACAGCCATTATTAGCTTTTTGGGATTTATAATTCTCATCTTTTTTACCAGGGCAGATTCCTAATGTGCTTATTATTAGCAGATTTTTTGGTTTTTGTTTCTACTTTGTCCTTTAACTTTATATAACAAGCATTTTTCTGTGCTGAAACATAACATCTATGCTCCCCATTCTAGACGCTGTTGGAAGGATGGTCCACCATTTGGTCTATAATTGATTCAGCTAGTCTCCAATTATTGGACAGAGTCTAGCCAAATTTTTGCTTGTGTAAATAATGCAACCACGAACTCTGCCCATTTGATCTTCTCCATATTTTGGATCACTTCCGTAAGAACGATGTTTGCTCCAACTCCTCTTGTGCCTCTTATGTCCTAGGGAGGTCTAATTGTGTGTCACAGATCCGTGGGCAGCGGGTTTTACATCAGAAAACCACTCTAGCCCAGTCAGGTCTGCCCCTTCCCATCACAGAGGAGTGTTTACAGACTCATCCTGGATGTTTCTGGTCAAAGCAATATAACAAAAGCCCAGCATCTCCTGGGCTGACCCCGTGGGGGCAGTGCCTGGGGGAGGGGAGCAGAGTATGTAGATTGGGGTCAGCTTGGAGCCTTGCAGCTGCCTTCCCGCCCTGAGCTGTGCCTTGTCTGGAGCCAAGAGTGGGCGGGGGGGGGGGGGGGGGGGGGGGGGGGCGGGGGGGGGGGGGGGGGGGGGGCTCCCAACAGTGGGCAGAGGGCAGCCCAGGAGGAAAGGGGCATGTGATGTATCAAATGAACATGGAGGTGGGGAAGGGAAGGTGGGAGTCTGGGTTTGTTGGCTTAAGGGAGCTCGGGCTTGGTTAGGGAATTACAGACACTAGCCAGACCTGGTTTCCACTGATGAATGCTCCTTCCCTCCCTTCTCTGGCACTTGTCACCTGAATTTGGTGGTTCTTTTGCAGAGTCCGGTGTTGCAGTATCTCTACTACCTTGCGCAGATCCCCATTGCCATGTCTCCTCTTAGCAACAACAGTCTGTTCCTTGAATATTCCAAAAACCCTCTGAGGGAATTCCTGCACAAAGGACTTCATGTTTCTCTCTCCACCGATGACCCCATGCAGTTCCACTACACAAAGGTGAGAATGTTAGGTGCCCCAGTCAGCCCTAGCCTGCCCGCCCCCCCCCCCAAACTGCATGCACCTGAGCACACACTCAGTTCTGCTTTTGGGGTGGGGTTGATGCCCAGTGAAGGCAAGAGGTAAGCTCCTGGGGAGCAAAAAGTGTTTCTTCCAGGAGCCCTGTCTTTGCAGGCCTTGAACCCATGAAGGTACAATTTTATTTCTTTGCCTTCTCTATTTTCCCTTTCTTTGGCATTTACTATCTCCATGATTTTGATCTCTGAATCCTATTCCTCTTCATCTGTAAAAAAGGGATGAAATTATCTGTGTCTACCTCTACTTTATTGAGAGGATTCATTAAGATAATGAATCAATCTAATAGTATCTGAATATAGCATGTATTCAAAATGTTACTGAACATTTTAATACTCTTACTATTATTATTTTATACTTTGGATCTGTGGGGCCAGGAGAGAGGAAGGGAAAGGCAGTATCATGCATGGGGACCAGCCATTGATTAGTAAAAACAGAAGTTCCTGAGTTGTCTAGGACAGGCTCTCCAAGCTTTTCGTCTCAGGACCCCTTTATACTTTTTAAGAATTAAAGGCCCTCAGAAAGCTGTTGATTACACAAGTTATATCTAGTGATATTTAAGTGTGTTAGAAACTAATATGAAATTGAAAAAATTAACTCATTAAAAAATAACATTAACAAGGGTGTGTGTGTCTGGGTGGCTCAGCTGGTTAAGCATCTAACTTGATTTTGGCTTAGGTCAGGGTCTCATTGTTGGGATTGAGCCCTGCATTGGGCTCTGCACTGACAGTGTGGAGATGCTTGGGATTCTCTATCTTTTCTCTTTTTCTCTGCTCCTCCACTGCTCATTCTCTCTCTCTCTCTCCCAAAATAAATAAATAAACTTAAAAAAATAACATTAACAAACATACTACATGTTAACATAAATAGCAATTTTTTATAAAAACTAGTCATATTTTCCCAAAACAAAAAAAATGGTATTGAGAATGGCATTGTTTTACATTTTTGCAAATCTCGTTAATGTCTGGTTTATAGAAGACAGCAGGATTCTCACATCTGCATCTGCATTCAATTGGTTGTGATACCTTTTTTTTTTTTTAATCAAAGTATATGAAGAATATCTTGCATCAAAAGGACACATAGTTGGAGGAGGGATGACCTTTCAAAAGGCCTTGAGGACCTTGGATCACATTTTGAGAACTGCTGCCCTAGGTTACAGAGGCAGTGGGGTGTCCGAGAGCGGTAATGGGAGAGCTTGTGATCAACGGAGACATTTCACTTCCTAGGATTTAAGGTGGAAAGCACAGCTCAAACCCAAATCCTTTTGGGATTACTGTCTCACTACCTGATCATTTCTCATTCTTATTTAATGTTCCAGCACTGCTCTTCAGTCTAACGCTCTCCCAGCTGAGCTATTTCGGCCTCTAGCACTGCTCTTAAGACTTCATTCAGATTTTTATTTTGGGGCAATCTTAAGAAAGTGATGTTAAATAAAAAGCAAAGCTCTAGAGCAGGTTCTAAACATGTGCACGCCCAGAGACAGTCTCAGTGGAGCAGAGGCTGGCATCCCCATGGCTTGACACAGGGCTTCAGACATGTGCTGGCCCACAAATCAATGTTGTAGGGGTTCTCTGATATATCTCTCTTTGGAAACCTGAGAATTCACCAAAGATGATCTTAGGAGTTTGTAATTTAAGGGGGTGGGAATGTTGTTTGGTTTTCTAGGTGGCAGACATTGGAGAAAAATTAAATCTGCAGTGTCTGTCTGATGTTTCTAGTGAAGGATTGAAATGAATATCCTACCATCTCATACATTTGCTTCTTTGGGGGGTGGATCTAGGAAGCACTTATGGAAGAATATGCAATTGCAGCTCAAGTGTGGAAGCTGAGTACGTGTGACCTGTGTGAAATCGCCAGGAACAGCGTGCTGCAAAGTGGCCTGTCCCATCAGGTATGGTGTGTGATGGCACTGCCTTCTGTCCCCCTTGTCACTTCAACACGCATACAGTGGGTGCCTGCTGCGTGTCAAGCACTTTCTCGGCTCTGAGATCAGTGAAGACAACAAGTAGGGTGAACACTGAAACTCCCTAAGGGAGACCCCTGAATTTTCAAGGCTGTTCTTTCACACTTTCACACTTCTCCTCAAACGTGACCTCCTCCGAGAGGCCCTCCCTGATCACCATTCTCCATCCCTTTAATCTGTTTTTCTTCATAACATTTATTACTACTGACATTGTAATATGTAGTTATGTGTTTTCCTGTCTTTCCTTCTCCAGAATGTAAGTTCCATTAGACGGTTTTGTTCAGCATTATACCCCTAGGGCCTGGAATGGTCCCTGGCACATAATAGGCACTCAGTATTTCTTGGATAGTAAATAGTACCTCAATTGAAAAAAAGTTGTAGGGATGGGACCTAAACATTGGTAATTTTTTTATAGTCCCCTAAGTGATTCTGATGTGGAGCCAGGGTAGAACCATTTCTCTACGTGGTGTCTTAGGCTCCTGAGTACCTCCCTGGGGTGGTGTCAGTGGTACAGAAAGAAGCCAAATCGCTGCTGCGCTGCTGTTCTTATTGGATGCTGATGCAGGGAAGAGCTAAACGTTCACAATTCAACTGTGCAGACCTGCTTCCTAAGACTGCCCCTGTCAGCTCTCAGGGGGTACTAAGAGTCTTCATGCCTTCATCTTGTCTTCTTCATTGCCAGCAGCTCCTGGTCTTATCTTTTTCTTGTGGTCAAGGAAAGCGTAGTCAGAAATGAAGGGAATGAACGTGGGCGTCAGGGTGACACGCTCGAGGACATGGGCCAGCAGGAAAATTTAAGAACCCTGAGGGGAAGGATGTCCTGGTGGAGGACCAGCTCCAGGGGACTGGGGGACCGGTTTGATTTGATCTAACATGCCCACTTCTCTTAACATCAAAGGGGCTGTGGGGATATAGAAAGTAAACTTAGGGTACATGGTTTCATTTGTACTTCTCTGGTTCCACAGGAGAAGCAAAAGTTTTTGGGACAAAATTATTATAAAGAAGGACCTGAAGGAAATGATATTCGAAAGACAAATGTCGCTCAGATCCGGATGGCGTTCCGATACGAGACCTTATGTAACGAACTCAGCTTCCTGTCTGATGCCATGAAATCGGAAGAGATCACAGCTCTGACCAAATAGGTCCAGCAGTAGGCAATGCATCTTAACTTTCTGGTTTAATTTCAAGTTTGCTGTGGTTAACAGTGGTCAAGATACCAAACTAGGGCCGTCCTCCATGTAGAGGATGCCTCTAACTCGTGATTTTGGTTGCACTGTTCACTTTAAGATCTAACATGCCCACTTCTCTTATTTCTGAGTAATAGATGGTGACTCCTCCTTGGGGATCTGGGAGCTGGACACTTGTCTGTACTCATTCCTAATTTTCCAAGTATGTCTCTTGAAACCACTAGTGCTTGCCATTGTTGGGGCCAGGATCTTGCAAGGTCCAGTGCCTACTGACATGAGGTCTGTGTGGTTTTCTGCCAAAATCCTCTATAGACCTTGCAGGCTAGTTGGTAGTTGTTCATTTCAGCCTCTGGCTGGCTGCCTTAAACAAAATCAATTTCAAAGCTCCCTTTCATAAAGGAACCACTTTGAGAGAATTCAAATAGAAAACTTCCTTCTTGAAAATTTGCATTTTTTAAATGAATTTCTTAAACTGTTTTACTTAGCCCTCCTCTCTCTATTTGGGAAGCCAAATGTGCACGTTGAACTGATTGCTTTTGTTCTGTGTCTTGGTTTTCACCTCTGAAAAGTGCGGGTTTGGACTAGATGAGTAGTTTTCAAATGTTCTGTGAATCCCCCTCCTGGACCACGTCAGGGTGGGGGAGGGCAGGGGGAGTGAGGTTCTGGATGCTACCTTCTTCAAAGCAACTCTGCTTTTATCACTTACACTGGGGCTTCTACATAGTCTCACTTAAACTATGGACTTTGGAAAACACAGGGTTAGATGATCCCTGTTCCTTTTGGTTCTAATATTCTGACTGTAGCTCAGTTATCATTTTACTTATGAACAGTTAGACAGGTGAAATTCGCGTAAGGTCACACAGCTAATAAGTAATAGGACCAGAAGTAGTTTCCCCGCCAGTCCTTTCCCCCACTGTTCCATTAGGCCTCACAGATGTTAAATTTTATCACTGTAATCTGTGCATATATATTTTTAAATATCTCCCTTATCTAACATGCAGACTTCTTCAGAAGATTTAAGTGGTCCCAGGGGCCAGGTAGAAAACATGGTTAAGACCAATCTGAATTTAGCTTTACCAATGTACTCTTCATCTGTGTTACTAGTGCCTGGTACATAGTAGGTGCTCAATAAATGTACATTGAATAACTGAATTTTTTTTTTTTGGCAATTTTTTAAGGACATATGCTCCAAGTATGCAAGCTGCTCAAGGACCTTCCTATTTCCCTGGGCAAAAGCAGATTATGAGAAGCCTTTCTAAATCATTACAGACTTAGAACTCCTCTATTTTTGCCTGTGAAGATGCTTATTTGACTTTAGATGGTCTTGTCCTATGACTTTATAATGCTTATCCCCTCCACTGGTTAGCTTAGCATATTGAACAATAAATGTAATCTTTTATTAGGCAGACATGCATGCTATCTTCCAGCTAATGATGAAATTGACTGAAAACCCAGTATTTATCTTACACATTATTTTTGAAAAGGCCCCATTTGTATACACCTGTCCTAACACAGTAATTATTGTACAATTTTTCATTGTCATTTTATCTGTACCAAGTATTCGTTTTTAATTATTAAATAAATGGCTCAATAATTTAAAACTATTTCAAGTTAATACTATTTAAAGCAAAATGAATAAACAAAAAGCAGAATCAGACCTATAAATTAAAGAGAACTGATGATTGCCAG